GAGTGAGGCTGGCGATCTGCTGCTCCAGGTAGGCCAGGTCGTGCTCGGTCAGGAGTTCGCCCGACGGACCCAGGATGGCGTTGTGGGCCTGCGAGTAGCACCAGTTGACTTTGGACAAGCTCCGGCCGTTCTCCTTGAACAGATGAGCAAAAGAGTCGCGTTGCCAGAGTTGGGGAGTTCGTTACATGCCGCCGTACACTTGTCATGCAATTTAGGGATATTCAAAGCTTGAAATATTTTTTGCGGAGCAGCTTTGCAAAGTGATGACTTCATTTGAGGAGTAACTTTCTATTTTGTGGCTCTTTTTTTGTTTGTGTTCCAACCCATCATGCTATCAGGTTACAGGTTATCATTCCTGTTGCATGAAAGAGTTAAATAAACAATAATATACCGTAGTTTCCACATTAAAAGGCGCACTGGAATATGAGGCGCACCTTCAATGAATGGCCTGTTTTGTCTTTTTTTTCATATACTGGACACAGCACGTTATGAGACGCAATCTACAATGCATCCACTAGATGGAGCTACGTTCAAGGAAACACCAACAGAACGATCAGATGTCAGTAAAACTTATTTAATAAAGCAGCGACACAGTTCACTTAACCAACAGCGAGTTATAACATTGACTTGTTAACGTTGAACTCTCTTGCTGCTGCTCTATTTCTGTGTTCAACTGCGTATCCGATGGCCTCAAGTTTGAACTCTGCGTTGTCAGCAATGCTCGAGCAAGGAGCCATTTTGGGGTCGAAATATTACCGTAATGACCATACACAAGGCGCATCGGATTTTCAGGCACGCTTTGAGCTTTTAAGAAAATGGAAGGCTTTTAGGTGCGCCTTTTAGTGCGGAAAATACGATAACAATACAACAGATTGCGACAGATGAACAAGTGGTTTACTTTTTCACAGGATCACCAGTTTTTGGTTTCTTAAATTCACATCGCGGCTGGCGTTACCTTCAACCTTTGGTCCTCCTCGTCCAGCAGTCGGGCCTGCAGCTGCCTCACCATCACCTGCCGCTTCCACTCGGCGATAGGCCGGCCCTTCTCGTCGTGGCTGGGCACCAGGTAGTCCATGTCGGCCAGGTTGGCCTCCTCGGTGGGCAAGACCACCATCTTACTCTGCGACGGGTAGCGGTGGGAAGTCACCAAGTACACTGTGCCGTCCGTACGTGTCAATCTAAGATCCACCACCAATATGAATGCTGAATGACAAATCTAAGATAAGGCAGCCGCGCTTACGGCTTGTCCGGTGAAGACACCCGAAAGGGACGACTGTTTGAGTGACACGATGGGCTTCATGTCGCCGAGGAGCTTTCTGTCGGCGAGGAGTTTGTTGGCGTCGGGTGGCGTCCTCTTTGGTCGATGCAGACCTTGAATCACTAAACACAACAACGTCCGTTCCGTCTCGTCACCTCCTCCTCCGCTTTTCCAAAACCTTTCGTAAACATACCAGAAGTGGCCGTTTGGATCTTCTCAATGCGCGGGATGATGCTCATGGAAGGCCGCGGGTACCTGGCCGCCACCGTCTCCTCGCTCTCGGGTTGCTGATTGGGGAATATGAAGAAGATGCGATGTTTTTGGATTGTTTTGAGGGTTTCTTTTGACGTGTGCAAATGACTAAGCACCTTCAAGGTGTCCATGACGGTCACGGCCGTCTTCATGACGTCTTCCTGTGTTGATGGGACGGCGATCTGGTTGCATCAGAAAAAAAACAACATTCATACTACTCAGTAGGGTTCTGGGTGAGCTGGGACCCTTCCCAGCAGTGACAAGTCCAAGGTACACCCTGGACTAGTCACTGGTCAATCGATTGGTGATAGGGCATTGACCAATCCGAAGATGGTGACCTCCTACTTATGACGAGAGACTGGACGTGGCAGACACAATCAAATTGTGGTGTATAGTATTTAAAAAAGTGACGAGCAAAAGGGGAAATATTGCAAAGTACACAGAGTATTTCAACTCATGCTACGTTTGCCAAGCTGCTAACTGATGAGCAAGCGTGGTTACCTCAAATTCTTTTTGGGTGAATAGACAGTCCGTACCGCCCTCGCCCCACCATCCAACAAACGGGACCCTCGTCCGATCCAAGACACACAACGATATTCATCCGGTAGTCTGATAGCGCGACTGTCATGAACGACAAAAAAAAAAAGCTGTGTCGCCATTACATCGCATTTGTGTATTTGAATGGACAGGGCGAATAGCAAAAATCTATGAGTCATTTTAGCCCTCCACCAAAAGGTTCATAATTGCCTATGGATGGAACCAAATGGCAGCAAAGCACTACGTTTATCTAAATGAAGCTTTCCAACTCACCGTGACCTAGCTCCTTGGCATCAAGATGCCCAAGACGGTAACAAAACACAACTTTTGTCTTCATGAACCCTCCTCAACTCACAATTATATTATTGCTCGGGATCAAGGTGGCGCAAGATGGTGCCAAAGCAATAAAAATATTGCTGAACCTGTCGGCCTGAGCACAAAAACAGCAAATGTAATTTTTTTTTTTTTTTTTACGATTTTTTTTTCCCACTTGTGTAACTATCCCCCCCACTCCTTTTGCCAGGCACCTTCCTGTGCTTGTAAGCCAGGACGCGCAACACACGGAACATGCGATGCGTGACGGGTATCCGTGTCGCTCTCAAGTTGCCTTTAAGGCTTAACACACGTAGCATATATAAACACAACAAATTGACACTCCAGTGCTCCAAACAAACAATGGTCGTTCGAAAGTCCGACCTGACAGCGAGCATGGCCGCTTTAGAGTGCCTCATTGATGTGGCATCCCGGTGGGATATATTCCAACCACCGGAGTCTTGAAGGGAATACATTTTCATGGCTCAAACATGTCGTTATGCGTATGTAGAAAGATGCTGGAAGAAGCGGCCTCCATTTTTCCAGGACTATTTGACTGACAGTTAATAGCAGAGCCGGGTGTGGTTTCAGCACATTCAGCAGACACGCCCACAACTTAAGAGAGTGGAGACAGTCGATTGATTTTTCAGATTTTTAAAGCCTCTCTTGATATGTGTATACTTGATTTTTTTTTGTAATCACTCAAATTTGGCAAGGTTGTTCACGACACATCTCTGTGTCAAATTTCCTTGACATGTGGTACCTATTTTCACTTCACAGGGAATTTAAAAATCGGCTTTATTAGTCCCCACGAAGAGGAAATTCCCCAACAACATGTTTTTGCATTTCATTATCCTGACATATCCACTACAAACAAAACAATTTATATGATAAATGGAAAAAAAATAAATAAATCAGACGACAGGACTATAAAGGAAACCATGCATGGCGGTTGTGTTGAAAAATTTACACTGTCCTCATGTGCACCGCGGACAGCCCGCCGTATCGCATTCCGCCTCCGAGCGCATCGCGGGTCCACATCAAAGTCAAAAAAATCGGAGGCCGGTCCTCGCCGCTTCCTACAGCTTCCCCGAAGTTGTGCAATCACCGAGAGATAAACAAGGAGAAAAAGAAGAAGGGAGGAGGAAGAGGAGGAAAAGGAGGAGGTGGTGCTTCCTGGGTGACCCTTTCTCGTAACAGTTCAACGTCCCTGTGCGTGCCTTTAATTGGACCCAGTGGCAGCCAGCATTTGGTTTTCATCAACGCCACCTCTCAGCTGCTCCACACACACACACACACACACACACACACACACACACACACACACACACACACGCACACGCACACGCACACGCACACGCACGCGTATTATCAAAGGCTCCGATCACAACACATCAAGAGTTCACAACCTTGCACTGCGCTCCAGTTCACTCCTGCCAGTGTTTGTAACAAACTTGAACTATCCCCCCCCCCATCTATTTTCCCCTTGCTACAGAGAGACGTGGGGGATGTACACACACACGCGCATCATGCACACACTGTACACACGCACGCACTCGCACACAAAGCTGCGGGTTTCAGTATCTCGCGAGTTCACACTCTGGTTTCTGAGTCGTCTATTTCCCTCATTCACAGGGGCACTGAGTGCAAACACCAGCTATGTGAACCACTGTAGTGACGCCCGACGGACGGACTGTATGTTTTCATGCGGTTTATCTTTAGCGCACTCGCTGGACGAATTTTGACAGTTTGAATTAATTATCGCGCGCCTTCAGTATAGCACGTTGGGGTGGTCAAAATTTTGTAGTAGTTGTTCTTCGCAGAGGATGAAGAATCTATGCCTACTGTTACCTTATCTGTCTGCATATGTTGGTCCACAGGTTGGTTTTTAAAATGCGTTGCTTGAAGACTTATTACACCGCGACAGATGATGTCCATTAGCCCGTCAATGGATTTTTTTTTTTTGCTAGCATTAAGCTAGCCGCGGCATTCCTAAGGAAAAGTTGTTTGAAATACACATAATACAGTAATGAACTTGAAATGAAACTTCAAATCAGAGTAAATTGTGAACTATCTGGCAACCTGAAACCTCTTTTTAAAATTATTTTTAATATTGTTCTGACAAACTGCTACTTTTTGGGCAGTGAATTGAGCACACCTCACTGCATTTCAAAGCACCGTTGAATATGGACTATATCGCCGTATTGTGATATCACCCCTGGCTCAATCGTGCAATAATATTGTTTGGCAAATTACAACGTGATTCCTCCGCCTGGTAGTTAATGGCAGGCAGATAAAAAAAAAAGGCCAGCTACGCATCTTGACAAAGTTTCAACAAGGTAAAAATGGACCGACCTGGATGTCAGCGGTTCAGCATGGCTGCGCGTTGAGGATGTGGCAGAGGGAGGGCTGGTTCAACACCGACAGCGTTTGCGCTGTGGCTCGAGGGCCCGTAAACAATAAAGCCGATGGGAGGACAGTGTGAATAATTGAAGGGGGGAAGGGATTGGGTGGCTGCTAATGTGAATGGCGCACTGGCACGCAGCAGGTATCAGCGGAAGCCTTCGAAAAGAGAAATTTTATCCCGTCGTATCCTGATGATTTTTTTTTTTTTTCCTCCCGTTGAATGGAGCGAACGCTCAGCTGGAGAGGACTCGTGAAAGGCGGGAGTGGAAAGACAATGTGACACCGTCACGCCTGATAAGACGCTTCAACAACAAGAAGGCACCTGCGGATGACGTTGTCAGCCAGTTGGATCTGTAACAATTGTGCGTTCTACCGGTTGCTACCATTCCCGTTGTGTCTCATTTGCGTCGCTTTTTTTAACTTCCTGCTTCTACAGCGACCCCCTTTAGATGACAAACTTGTTGAGGGCGAAACAATTGTTTGCTCGACGGGTTGCTGCCAATCCATTTTGTCTCCAGTGCTTCACTTTGTTACGTCTTACTTGAACCGCTACCCATTTAGGCAACAAACGAGTTGGGCCAAAAAAAATTTTGCCCTCGATCAGTTGCTCCCAATCTGTTCTGTCTGTTACATCACTTTGGCTTCCTGCTTCTACCCGCTTAGGCGAAGAATAAATTGGGCCTGAAACAATTGCCCCCTACTGGCTGCTCCCAATACATTCTGTCTCCATTGCTTTATTTTCCTTCCTTTACTTCTTGATCCTGAAACAACGATGCTCTCTACGCGGTGCTGCCAATCCGCGATGCCTCCCCTCAACTTGTGTTAACTTCCTGCTTCTACAGCGACCCCCTTTAGATGACAAACTTGTTGAGGGCGAAACAATTGTTTGCACGACGGGTTGCTGCCAATCTGTTTTGTCTCCAGTGCTTGACTTTGTTACGTCTTACTTGAACCGCTACCCATTTCGGCAACAAACGAGTTGGGCCAAAAACAATTTTGCCCTCGACCAGTTGCTCCCAATCTGTTCTGTCTGTTACATCATTTTGGCTTCCTGCTTCTACCCGCTTAGGCGAAGAATAAATTGGGCCTGAAACAATTGCGCCCTACTGGCTGCTCCCAATACATTCTGTCTCCATTGCTTTACTTTCCTTCCTTTACTTCTTGATCCTGAAACAACGATGCTCTCTACGCGGTGCTGCCAATCCGCTATGCCTCCCTCAACTTGTGTTAACTTCCTGCTTTCACAGCAAACCACACATGCGGCAAACTAGCCGGGCCTGAACCAATTTCCCCCTCTACTGATTGATGCCAATTCTCATTGCTTTGCGTTATTAACTTCCTGTTGGGACTTAACCAATTGCTTTTGCCAGTTTCTGCCAAACCATTCACATGAGTTCAATTTGTTAACTTCCGCCTCTCTATCTAGGCAACAAACTTGTTCGGACCGGAAAAAAAACTGCCCTCGGCTATTTGCGGCCAATCCAACTCGTCACCTTCGATTTACTCTGTTGTCTCAACGGGCGCCAGGAAGTTGGCAAACTCATACGACCTGAAATAACGGTGTCCTCTACTCGTTCCTAAGAACCCGCTATGCCTTCATTGCCTCACTCAGTTCACTTCCTGCTTCCACAGCAGCCCATCGAGGCGCCTCGACAAACTGAACTAATGTATCATCTCTTGTGTTTACTGTTTATCTGTCTGCAGCTGCTTCCGCACTGCCAAATGAGGAGCGCTGGTTGTACTTCCACCTCGTAGCGAGCCATCCAAACATGACGTGCGTAGCCCCACTTGCGCCCCCTTTCACGCGAGGGAAACGAGCTGAACCGAGCCTCCGCTTTGAAGACGCCTGCAGAGATGTAATTAAAGCTCAGCTGATCTCCAGTATGAGGAGGATCCAGCTCAAGAGTCTTCCTTTGAATCTTGCTCCTTAGTGGGATTAAGTTGCCAGTTGCTGGCGCGGAGACGGCGCAAAATGTGAAACCAGACCCCGCGGATCTCCTAACAGACCTCGAGGCCTTACACCTGAGAAGAGTGGGGCGAAAGCTGAGAGGACCCCTCGGCCGACGGCGGGTTGCCAGAGTCTGCGCTAATTACCCCGCCATTGTTCTGAGGGCGGCGAGGCCCGGATCCCGTAGAAACAAGTGCAGCTGCGCTGCTTCTTCTTGACTTATTGCCGGCTCCCGTTGGCCCGGCCGATGATGCGGGTGGTCCGCCGAGACACCTGGGAGGCTTTAAGGTCTGTCGGCGGACAACATTCCCTGATTACTACGCCGCCCTTTGATCGCACGTCGGGGGGGTCGTAAATCAAGAAGACGCGGTACAAACTGGCTGAGCTAGTGCTTTTAAACTCTTTTTTCTAAAAAGTTTTCTTTGTTTATTATTCAAGACTTTTATAAAAAGTACACTGGAACCTCTGTACACGGTTCAAATGAAACCCAGTGATCTCCGATCCCTTGATGCTGAGCCCCCGCCCCCCCCCCAACTTCGTTTCTAATTCCATGCTTTTTACCCCATAAATTTGTCCTTTTATAGCACAGTTCACAAAAAGTTAAAGGGATATTGGGGCTTTGAATCAACAGAAAATGGGCGATGACCTTCTTCCAGTAAAGGTCAACTTCATTGGATCTCTAAACTTTCAACACACGTCCGACTGATTCCCTTCGTGCGTAACTTGCTGTTCCCTAACAATGACAAATGGAAATGTCCAAGGACGACCACCGTCATGTCTTTCTGTGACTCTTCCAGTCACTCTATTTCAACCGGTTGATGACACCCAGCCCAGTGGCCACTCAGGGAGGATTCCAGATACAGCCCCAGTGCGAAAGTACTCACGCGGGACCGATAGCACTCAAGCAAGAGGGCTGGAGACATCAAAAGCTACTCAGCGCATTCCCCAAATTTCACAATAAAATTGCCAAATTCAGATATATAGTATGTCTTCAGATATGAGTTTAATTCATTCAGACATACGTATGCACACGCAAGAGAGTCACAATTGCTCTGGAACGCGCAATCGCGCTAGTGTTCTTTGCAGAGGATAAAGAATAGATGCTCGTGAGTAATGTTATATTCTCAATATGTAGGTCCGCTGTTGGTGTTAAAACATCCACGGCTTACTGGATTACAACACGGCGACGCTGATGCCATTTGTTGACCCATCTGTTGTGGATTGTTTGTTCACATCAATCTAAATGGAGTCAATGAAAGCAAAGCTAGGTAATTGTTTGACATGCAGATGTAATATATTAGTTTTATGTCTTGATGACAGCAAACTTCAACTGGCAGTGGCATTAAACCACTTGAAGTCTCTTTTTTGAAGAATTGTTCACTATCTGCCAAACTTCTGTTTGTTGTGAAGGGAGTTGAGTTCATGGCCACCAAACAACGCTCAAATGTGGTCGCAACTCAAAAGGGGCACTCAAAAGTCAAGGTAACACTGTCCGTGCATTATTTCCTTTGTGAAATTTGTTTCGAAATCCTGTTCAGGCACACAATGGAAGCTCTGAGACGTTTTTGCCTAAAACAAAAGTCCCCTTGGTCCAAGTTCTAGGCACACCAGCGCTTTCATTTCCCGGCCAACAAAGCTGAGTGACCTCAGTGTCACAAATGGAGAAAATGATCGTGCGAGACGCTTCCAGATGTTTCACTTTTACCCCATACCACCCCCGCAACCCCCCACCGCCGACCACGCCAAGAAGCAGATGGTCAGCGCCGAACCAGAGTAACTAGCACGCTAGAGGAGGCCATCTTACGAGGTTCTCGTGGGATCGCAGGTATTTGGCGCACAGGTGGTGTCCGTTGTAGTGGGCCAGCTGGGTAGGCGTGAACCCGTCCATATCTCTGTCAGAGGGGTCGGCATGGCTGGCCAGCAGCCGTTCGCAGCACTGAAATATGCACAGATGATTTACAGCTGCATTTACAATTTTCTTTTTTAATTATCAATTGTGCCCTCCTCAGACAATTTGTACATTGTTCTCATTTTCGGAAGGGGCAATCATTTTGGTTGTGGTGCAGTTAGTGGGTGGAATTTGTTTTTAAAAATGTTTTAAAACCGGTGTCTTTTAGGTTTACAAGTCTTAGACAGTGTTGACACATTTTGAACCCTCTGGAAGCTATTTATGGGAAAACAAAGCTCAAAATAATGATTGATGTACAATCATTTCAGAGCAGTTTGTTTGTTTGGGTAATAGACGTGAAGAGGTCACAAGGGTTAAGATGAAAAGCCAACCTCCATCTCTCCGTTCTCAGCGGCGTCGTGTAATGGCGTCCCGCCCCACAAATCCTTCAGGATCTTTGCCCCGGCACCAAGCAGCCGTTCCAAGACACGGGAGTGCCCCCTGCTGGCGGCAAAGTGCAGCGCGGTGGCACCGTCCCCGTCCTGGCAGGATGGGTTCACCTCGGTGTGGGTCAACTTGTCATTTTTTGGGGGGGAGGTGATGAAAGAGAAAGTAGGGAATGCAATATCTGTAGAAATTGTGTGGGAATGCTGAAGAGATGAAGATGAAATGAAACGCTGTGGGGATACATTATCGAAAAGACGTTGCGCCATCAAAGTCAATGCGTACTCACCAGCCAGGTCACCACACGGATGTGGCCCATGTGCGAGGCGGCGTGCAGGCAAGTCATGCCGTCGTGCGCCCTCACGTGTACGTCGGCTTCGCAACGCTTTACCAGGTACTCGGCCACGTTCACGTGCCCCTCCTGGCACGCCAAGTAGAGCGCCGTGGTGCCTGTGGACATCTGCCTGTTCACGCACCTGAAAGGAATGTCACAGGCTCTTCACATTTTGCTATGCCCTGGTCTTATTTCTAACAAATGATGACATTCATTTTTTTTCCACTCAAAATTCTCCACATCACGACAACGTGAAATACATTTTTTAAGGATTTTTTTGGACGAGCTTTTTTTTTTTTTAGCAAATTTTGTATAGAGAATAAATATTTTTTCAAAATGGATTAAGTTCCAACAGCATTCACAGTTTTTCACTTTTTATGCACAAATTTGAAGGGATTGTTTTTTCTATTGTGGAATAAGGCTATAACATGGAAAAAGTGAGGCACTGGAAATATTTTGTGTATGCACTGTATATTCATTTTTTCCCCCATATTATTATTTTTTTAAATACATTTGCAAATATTTCAAAAACTGTTTTCATGTTGTGATTATGAGGATTGAGGGGGAAAACAATATTCCATTTTGGCATAAAAGCAGTAACATAAAATATGGAATAAGTGAAGCACTGTGAATACTTTCTGGATTCCGGGACATTTTTTAATGAATTTGCACAAACTTCAAATCAACTTTTTTCTTTTTTTGTTATCATATGGTGCCGTGTGTAGAATTTCATTGTGAAAAAAAGCTAATGTATTCTATTTTGGAATAAGACTAACAACCTGGTGGAAAAAGTGAAGCAGTTTGCATACCTTTTGAATGCACTGTAAGATCCTTCCCCCCCACCCCTCCCCACATTACGTTGTATTATTTTTAAAACATTTGCAAAAAATCTTCAGGCTTTAACAGAAGCAAATGTCGAAAATGTAAAGCGCTGTGAAATTTGCAGCAGCACCGGACGTGTGACCCCCATTATGAACAGACCGCGGCGCGTGGCCAACAAGCAGCTCCACGCAGTCGAGGTGCCCATTGAAGGCGGCGTAGTGAGCTGCCACGGCTCCGCACTCGGTCTCCGCTTCCTCCATCGCCGGGCCTCCGACGGACAGCAGCCAGCGGACCGCCTCCGCACAGCCGAAGCGGGCAGCCAGGTGCAGTGCAGTGGCACCGGCGGCATCCCGGTCCTACGTGCACGCACAAACAGCACTCGTATTGAAACTAACGTTTGTGTTTTCCTTGAACGTAAGGTACATAAAAGATTATTTCAAGTGCCTTGTACCTATCAGAGTTGATGTATTCATAAACAGACAAGTCTGACTTTCCAATTAACCTAAAACAAGTCATTTCATGAACAGACAATTCAAGTCTGATTGAACCCATGGCTCACCTCCACGCTGCATCCCGCCTCTTCCAGGAGCCACCTCAGCTCCCTCACGTGTCCTGTGGCCGCCGCGTCGTGGACCGGCGTGGCCCCGTTGGCGGCCCGGGCGTCGGGTGGCAGGCCGTGCTCACTCACCAGAAAGCGGAGGCACTCCAGGCGGCCGCAGCGGGCGGCGTGGTGCACCGGGCCGGCGCCTTGAGCGTCCACGGCGGGCGAGAGAAGGCCGCGAGACGCCAGTTCCCGCAGCGCGTGCAGGTCGCCCGCTCGGGCCGCTCGGATGGCCTGGTGGAGGACCATGGTTTAGTTTTGGGAACCGTCGAGCTCTTCAGAGTGTCAATGTGTCATTGTGTCTCCCTACCGTGGTGGAAAAGTGACACCTGAGAGGTCGCCAGCTGGCCAGCGTGACTGCAGAGGGGCAGCCGAGCCAGCAGCCGCTGGGAAAGGTAACGAAAGACTGCCGAGCTGCTTTTGTGTGGCGCTGAGCACATGCTGACCCATGACTCAAGCCAGAGGGATAGCATGGTGCCACTGAATGGAAATGCCATTATTCCATTTAAAAAATAAATTTAAAAAAACTTATTTCCCCTTTAATTATTAATTTCCAGTCATTGAAAGCCTTTTGACTCATCTCTCAAGGCCCATAGGATGTTGAGTTCTCACAATAATGATAATAATAATCATATCCTCGCAAAAAAAGAGTAAGCACCAAAAACAGCACAGTGATATTGACGTTTCTACTTCTTACTTTTGTGACACCTCAATTTAGAAAAAAAAAAAAAAAACAAGACAGAGAAATCGCTTTTGATTGCAAAATACAAAAATCAAGGGCAACAAACACTTTCTACTATGTACTGTGACACATCCTCTGCTTATTTCCCACATATGCATCCTTCATTCGAGTGTGAGGTACCTGAATGTGTCTGAATATCAGACTTTCACCATGCTGGCATTTCTCCCTTATAATCGATGCAACAAGCCAAGATTCACCGCCTAATCTTATTTTCAACTCAAAAACTGTGCTGACCTCAAAACTGAGCGATGCAATGCTGCCAACTGCAAGGCGAGGCAGCTTTATTGATATAGCACATTTCATACACAAGGTAACTCCGTGTGGTTGACAAAATTAAAAATGCAACATTTAAAGGTTTTCAGAAACAAGTTAATTTAATAGATTTAAAAGCAAAGAAGTAAAAAGCACCAGTAGCTTATTAAAATTACTCAAAGAATGTACAGTACCAGTACAAGATTTATTTGTTGTACAGTATTATTGAATGACTTGTTTACTGAGTCAGTTTACATGATATAATTTTGTTGCTTTTGAACTGACGCATTAGTATTCATAATTCCTCAGGGCAAAGCAGTATACGAGATGAATGAATGGATGCTGACGGGTACAAATTTGGTGCAAAGGCCAATTAAAATGGTTTAAAAAAAAAAAAAGAGCCATTGTGCATCATTTGCATAAAATGATCAAATATGTTGTAAAAGTGTACCAGGCCTGCCTGTGTGATCAAGGGGCTTTTTATTGGCTCTGCTCCAGTAGCTTGACGGCCTCTTGGAGGTCTTTCACGGCGACGTCCACGTCCTCTCTGCTGGTCCTGTGGCCCACGCTCAGCCGTAGGGCGTTGGACGCCACTTCGGGGGTCACGCCGCAGCTCAGGAGGATGGGGGAAGGCCTGACGGACCGCACACAGATTGGTGGCGTGAGTCAATCCCAAATAGGTTTGCGCGTTGGATTTCAGATTGACTGTTGTCAAATCGCATTGCATTGTAATTGGAGTTAGTTCTGTTTTATTGTAACTGGAGTCAACAGTATTACATCCTAAATTGCACTGAACCACACCGTATTGTAACTGGAGAGAATCATCTCAAACTTGGACTGACCTGTATCATTACGTCGGTTTGAAATAATGCTCATTTTTTAAAGAAGCAAGTTGAAGAGTCCATCGAACTAAACGGGAAAATTTCCGGCCCTTCACAAGCCAAGCCGGGAGTGTGTTAAGTGGGCCCCCGAAGCTACATCACCTGTCTCCGTGGTCTGAGTGGCAGGCGGCGCCCACGCTGGCCAGCAGCTTCTTGCAATGGGACAAAACTCGCCAGCCTGAGGCAGAACGGAACGAGTATTCTTTTTTTATTTAATTTTCAAATGATCCCAAAGCTGCTTGAAGCAGATAAGGAGGCTGTCGAGCGGACACCTTGTAAGCCTGGACCCAGGATGGACACATTACAAGTGTTGGGCAAGCGATCAGAACCCTGGAAATGGTTGTTGAAGTGCAGCTTGTCTTTAAAGACGGCCTGCCAGGGGAACACGCAAACATACTTACATGAATGGAACTATCATTAATCCATTCAAGCACCCCCCACCAAAAAAAAAAAATCATTTGTGACATGATTATATTTTTTTTTTAATTATGCAAATTACACTGATGCAATTTGTTGTGATGCCAGTTGTGAGGCAGGTTGAGTTCGCTGCCCCCATTAAAAGGCAAAACTTTTTCAATCGTATCATCAACATCTGCTTATCCTATAAGCAAATCTGAAATTGGAATTTAGTGTTTAAAAAAAATAAATAATCTGAGATTTTATTTGAAGACCATATCCAAACTAACCTTGAGGCGTTCCTCCAGGTATTCTCTTACATCCAGCATGTGACTCTCGTAGTCAGACAGGCGATCTGTCACCAGTTCAGCAGCCTAGTAGGGACACACACACACAAAAAAAAAGGGAACAAACAAAATAATATCATACAACAAAAACAAAGGTTACTACTACTTAATATTTAGGAAGTCATTTGGATAAGATATGATAACTAACAGAGCTCAGCATAGATGGATGGAAAAAAAGTGCGACAACCAATTGAATAATAAATTGTGCCGATAAATAAACCCTGACAAATGCTTTTTGATGAGGATAAGATGAAGATGTAAGTTGGCAGAACTCAAATTTTTTTGAGTCATGAAACGGACGTCAGACAAAAGTGAGCTGAAAAAAAATATTTCACAAGGAGTAAGTACATAGTTGGAAAAAAAAAAGTTGAGTTTCACTGCCTGAATATATACAACAAAAACAAAGGTTACTACTACTTAAAAATATTTAGGAAGTCATTTGGATAAGATAAGATAGGATAACTAACGGAGCTCAGCATTGATGGATGGAAAGAAAGTGCGACGACCAATTGAATAATAAATTGTGCCGTTAAATAAACCCTGACAAATGCTTTTTAATGAGGATAAGATAAAGATGTAAGTTGGCAGAACTCAAATTGTTTTTGAGTCATGAAACGGACGTCAGACAAAAGTGGGCTGAAAAAAAAGATTTCACAAGGAGTAAGTACATAATTGGAAAAAAAAAAAGTTGAGTTTCACTGCCTGAATACATACCTTTCCCAGTCCAGCAATCATTGGTGTGTTTTCTGTGCTGCCATGTTAAAAACAAAGACATTGATTAATTTACGGGTATGGCTCTATGAATACAGTGGTACCTCGACTTATGAGTTTTTCGTAATTTGGGCCTTCGCTCATCTGATTTTTTTTTATTTTTATCTAGAGTTGCAATCAAAAAATTTGACATTTAAAAGGTAAAGCAAAGAGAAATGTATCCAGTGTATTTCGCCAAACCACATTGCTTTCCCAAAATCCGTTAGCTGATTGCTATCTTAGCGCTTCCCTAGCTTTGATTTTACTGTATTTGCAACCCTTTAAGCAACGAACATTTGTAAGCAAAAGGCACCGCTGTACTCATGTATTTGTGTATTTTCATTGCTTCATCAATGAAAATGTATGACTATTACTGTATGATACCCAGGTCGAAAGTTCCTCTCCTGCCCGCCGCCAAATAACATGGAATAGAGTGGTGTTTTCACCCCAAGGCCATTCACATAAAGCGCACCGATGCGAGGCCCGTAAAACTAAAGAAAAAAAAAACATTCAAATAAAAACTCATTATCAGCTGATTGTTGCTTCATGAAAAAAAAAAAAAATGTTCACACGCTACCCCCCTTATGACCCACGATGGTGAGGTAATCCACACCCAGCTCCTTGACGTCCACTGGGATCTTACCCAAGGCTTGAGCGGCGTCCGTGTGGATGAGGACACGCGCGCATCCATCCTGTTGCCTCAGTGAGCGGACACGCTGCGAGATCTCGCGGATGGGCTGACATAAGAATAGATGGAACATATAAGGAGAGTGCTCGTTTAATTTTGGGTAAGGGTCCTTGAAAGTTTTTGTGCATCCTGTTATGATCAATCAATCTTTAGAGAGCACTTTTTTCATACGTAAAAATGAAACTCAAAGTGCTGATACACATGTCCACTGAATTCCGTGTTGACTGGTTGAACTGGTGTCTCCAGTAAAAAAACAATAATTCTGACTTTCCAACCCTGGAATTTGCCCCAAATTGCTGCCAAAAACAGACAACATCACTTTGTGGAGCTGGTCTCAGGGACTCATTTTTTTCGTCAATTTTGACTCCTAAATTTGCCTCAAAATAGCCGCTTCAAAATTAAACGGGCAACATCCTATTTAATTTTGCGCGTGGGATTTGACTTTTTTTTTTTTTTGTACGTCCTGTTACGATACATGTCTGGGGAAAAGAGTAATGTTTTATTTACTTTCGAGCTCTGGAATTCACTCAATACGTTGCGGGTATTTATTGAGTTATTTATTTTAAGCTATGGAATTTGCACCAAAACGGCTGATTTAAAGCAAAACAGCCGACCTGTTGAATTCTGGACATGGGTCCTTGAGGCTCTTTGCCCAATTTTGTGTTGATTGGTGAAACTGGTGTCTTTGAATCCAACTTCTTTTCTTACCATGATGATGCCCGTCTCATTGTTGGCTAGCATGATAGACACCAGGCAGGTGTTAGGGCGCACGGCGGCGACCACGTCATCTGCCTCCACGCGGCCCGTTGTCTTGGAAACCGGCACACAGGTAAAATCTGCAAGAGCACATTCTCGTAAATCTGATGCAAAAAGCAAAGGCGATTCACGGTCAAGGTGAAAACCGAGGGGACTGGATTCTTCTCGGTCCGCTTAAATACAAGAGGCTGCGGTTCAGTTCTGAACGTCAACAAAGGCAATTAGATTTGGTTGCTGCTGTCCTCGTACCCACTTTGCCTTCCCTCTTCAGATGCTCGGCCACCAGTTTAACCGAGTCGTGCTCCACATCGGAAGCGATGATGTGCGGCTGGCTTCCGTCGTCTCCTTTTCTGGCGTCACGTTGGCTCTTCCAGAAATGCTCGACGGCGGTGTGGAGCACCATGTTGTTGGACTGGAATGAGTTCCATTTTTTTTTTTTACTTTTAAGTTTTCTAAAATGCCAGCGGGAAAATGTGTCGGTGTTACCTCGGTTCCACCCGAGGTGAAAATGATGTCCTCTGAGTTGCCTCCGATCATTCTTGCCACGTTCTCCCTGGACTGAGTAATGATGGCCTTCGCGGTCAAGCCTTACAAGAGCAAATTGCAATGAGAGAATGCAACAAAATTATGTTGGAGGAGAGAAACATCGAAAACATTCAGGATAGGAGGCCCTTGTAGACCGGAGTTGACCGGTCTATCTGAATGAGCTTTTCCACTTTGAAATGAGAATACTTTTAATCTGTTGAGAATACATTTGTAAAGTCCTGAAAGAGCTAAGCAGTTTGAAGTTGTAATGTTTTAAATGATGTTTTCAATTACCTTAAAATTACAGTCTCAGGAAATGTAGCCTCACCTGCAACATAGCTGCTACTCGGGTTTCCCCAGGCGTCCCGCATGGCATCGTAGGTGGCCCGGATCACTTCGGGCGCCACTGGCGTTGTTGCATTGTAATCCATGTATATGCTAAATCAAAATGCTTATTAGCAATTAGCATTTGTAGTGATGTTGACACATGTAGCAGTTTTTAACATCCCACCTGTTGTGGCTCTTTTCGGCATTACCAAACTCTCTTCCATGTCCAGGCGTTATGTCAGCATTGCATTGACAGGACATCTCCTGGGGAGAAAGCACTTTTAACTATCCACCCATTCATTGAGCCGTAGCTGGATTGATGAGAGATGCTGAAAAGCTGAACTGAAACACGTGACTTACAATAATCAAGTTTTGGGTTCTGAGCACGGTCACAAACCAATTCAACTCCTATCTCAAAGCAGCCCCACTGAAATAAAAATCATTTTGAAATCCTCGATAGAGCGGGAGGCGAACGCTAAACCGTAATGAGAAACGCGACATACACGTACCGCTCCAATATGGCTGGAGTAAACGAACACACGTAATCGGAGCGCGCCACATTCAGATGCATTCAGGAAAAGAAGTTGAGGCAAAACATCATCTCTGATACATGAAACAAAAATTTTGGACAAAACAATTATTTTGACCTACAAGCCGATTTAAAATCGCATTAAAACGTGTTTACAACATATATAAATTCAGAATACGTGTGTGTCAATTAATGTGTCGTTAATGATGACGCATTGTGAAACTGAAACAAATGAAGTAAAAGTAAGAAAAAGGCATGGCCGAGATATGGTGTAAAAGTGACACGACAACTCAATTCGCGAAAAATGTTAGCTCCAATTGACATGTATTAAACGAGTTTTACCGGTGGCTACACTTGGTGACGTAAAGCGAGTTGGACTTGTACCTGCTAGCACAATTTTGGCCATTCGACAATCGTACAGTATATTCAATGTAGACGAGCCGTGGCAGGTTTATATGCCTATCTTCGTGTCTGACCTTGTCAAGTGATGTCAAGTTGTCCCAGAGATACCTTTATTGCGTCTCGCTCCACTCGCGTCAATCATCTGCTAGCAAAGCGAAAGCAGAGGAGAGGTTGAGAGAGTGCCTCTACTTGGGTTGCCAGGTTTGATGGATTCAGCGACGCCGTTTTTTAAATAAATTTATTTTTTAAAACCACCACACACCCTTTGATTTAATCAATATGTTTGTATTCGAAATGAGCGGTGTATAATCCTTTTGAAACAGAATAATGACAAAATGATGTACGTAGCCGCGGGAATGGACGTTAATGTATGGATCTGGCAACTTACATTCATGAAACGTTGCCGGGTTTGATGAATAAAAAGAACTTAGTACGTGTAATAGTGCAGGTACTGTACCACTCTAGTATTGGTTTCAATAGTTTTTTTAATGAAATAAAATCATATCCAAGAAGTTTAAATTCCTAAAAGTCAAACAAATGTATTGTTCTCAAAAGGTAAAAAAACTGAAATGAAAGCAGAGGAGAGGTTGAGAGAGTGCCTCTACTTGGGTTGCCAGGTTTTGACCGATTCAGCGAAGCCGTTTTTTATTTTTTATAACCACCACACACCATTTGATTTAATCAATATGTTTGTTTTTATTCGAAATGAGCGGTGTATAATCCTTTAGAAACAGAATAATGACAAAATGATGTACGTAGCCGTGGGAATGGGCGTTAATGTCTGGATCTGGCAACTTACATTAATGAAATGTTGCCGGGTTTGATGAATAAAAAGAACTTAGTACGTGTAATAGTGCAGGTACTGTACCACTCCTAGTATTGGTTTCAATAGTTTTTTTAATGAAATAAAATCATATCCAAGAAGTTTAAATTCCTAAAAGTCAAACAAATGTATTGTTCTCAAAAGGTAAAAAAACTGAAATGTACTTACAGTAGTAGTGATTGTTTCGCGTACCACTAGAGCGCGCTCGCGCAATTCCAGAACAACACTGAGAATCACTCCAGTATTCTGTCTTCTCAAGACGCCTTTTAACTTTCATAACACCGAAGAAACACACACAGCTATTCAGTGTCTAAAAATAACCGACACCATCGACATGTTGCATCATTGTTATTTTATTTTTATTCCATATATGATAATGTGTTTCGGTGCAAACACACACGCACAAATATTTGGACGCTTTACTCCGACACTCGAAAAAAAAAAGACACACTGAATGAACTCCAACAGCCCATTGACAGTAAGAGCTCGGCCCCCTAATGTTTGACACACGCCGTTCACAGCAATCATGTTTATTATATACAATGCGATGTCGTTGTTTTTTTTTTTGAGAAAGCGGGAAAAAAGAAATGTGGAAGCACAAAAATGGCCTTTTCCCATTCAGAGCCGAAGGTGATAGAAAATGACGGTCAAGGGTCGCGTGTTTTAATAAACAACAGTGGTGCCGCACACACATCAACACACAGTAGTACACGTCTTGAAGTGCGTGAGGTCAAATGGGAGCACACGCACACACAAGCACTTAAGGAGTGGTAGAAGCTTAAAAATGTGGTTTGTACATTCAGTGTTGAATGACTACAACAACTTTGGTTGGAGCCAATGTGACACGCAGTTTGTGTAAAAATTCTGAGACCATTTTGTGAGAATGAAAAGGATTTTTTTTGTTGTAAGCGTGCACTCAGGTTGGCTGACCTGACGCACAACTCACCTCACCCGGGCAGTGAAAAATTGAGAAAAAAAAATCTTACATTTCACGTTTGAATTAGGCTGGGATCACTTGTGTCGGCTACGTAGAGTACAGCAGAGCCTGTTACATGCACCAATCATGATAACCTGTAACCTGATAACATGATAAACTGTCCACTGTCGTAACCGCTGTCCCTGAAAGGGTTAAAGTGGAGACATTGTGTAGATGATAATACATAATAATGATGATGTCAGGATGAAGAGCATAAATAGCAGCGTGAAGGTTGTCCGATAGAACGCAACCGTGAGGCACGATGTCATCTATATGCACTTTAAAGAGTATATCTATTTAGGATTTCATATTACTTCCTACTAGCCTGACAACTTAAAGGAGTGGAGGGGATTCATTCAAGTAAAGTGTGTTTGCGTTATTCTTCTCAAAACAACATCGTGGGAGGGAGCGTCTTACAAAGTGCCATGTGCACACATTGCACCACTTTACAAATACACTGTAAACGTCTTTGTCCATGAATACATACATGCACATGGAAATAAATACAAAAATAAATAAAGCGACAGCGGAAGTTTCAAAATGTGAGGATGAACGTGGCGTCGCTGTTGTGTTACGCGAGTGCAGATGTGCAAACATGGAAGGCAGCATGTGAGAAAGTTTGTCGGAGAAATGACAACAACAACAAAAAAAGATAGCTGTTCAAGAGGTGCATTTTTAGAGAGACAAAAGTATTAGGACACACCTGTTCATTAATTAATCGTTAGGTGATGCAAGGTCATTTTCAGTCCATAAAAAGCTGGCTGGATTCAAAACAAAAAAATTGCCAAACCAAGACGAATTCCAACATACTTTTGCTAATGTTGCAATATTTTGTCAACATTTTCAAACAGTTTTGATTTCCTATCGGTGTCCCAGTGCTTCTATCCAAACTGCTTTTACTGACGCATCTGGCAGATATCCCAATACATTTGCCAAACTTCATTTTTCTTCCTTCCTGGGTATCCCAATAATTTTTGTGACTGTACTTCATGGTTATCAAGTTTCTTAAAACTTTTTGTCCCAGTTCCAGTTTTGACTTGGCCAGTGTCCCAATACTTTTGCCCAAACTCTGATTTTCTTTCTTGCTGCATGTCCACGCACATGCGTACGCACACACGTACAGTAGGTAATGTGTTGTATGTATAAGATCGGATGCGCCACTGACACGACTACATGACATCACCACACACGTTTGGAATCTGACTACCGGACTGATTAGAAAAATCCTGACACAAGATGGCGTAGAGTAACGCTAACTGGGGGAAGGAAGATGGCGCCGGCGGGGTGGAAAGGGAGAGGGGTCGGTAGTCTATATACATCTCAAGTCTTTTCCATCACATCCTCATCTGTCCCACTCGTCTTCTGGACAACTTGGATCTAAGGGGCAGAGGCCAAATAGCACATTAGCATTTCATCTCGCATGCGAGCATTCTATTACCTCACTCATCTTTTAATTGACCCAACTACAGGATGCGTGGTAAGGCACTTATAATGGTGCCTTAGCACTTTGTCCATTTAAGGTACTATGTTTCTGAATGTTAGCATGACAACTACTAGCGCGTTAGCATCATATCTACAATGTTACCATTTTCTTAATCATCATTTGTAATAGTACCCAATGACAAAGAAGGACACAAGATCCTGATTCACTTGCCTCAGCGCTTTGTCTCCTCTGGTTATCTTGGAGCTAACGTGCCAACTAGCATGTTAGCATTTTGTCAGGAATGTAAGCATTTTAATAATCCTCATTTGTAATAGTTGCCAACTAAAGAGAGAACCTCGTGGATCTTTCTTTATTTGGATTGATATCTTGCTGAATGTCAGCATGTTAGCATTATTAGCAAACGTGTTAGCATATTGAGCTAACATGCCAGCCCTTGATCAACTGTCATGTTTCAAGTTAAGTTGATATCTTGCTGTATGTCTGCATTTTTAGCAACCGCAGTACAATATTTAGCTCTCATTTTACCATTTGATCAACTGTCGTTTGTTATCGTACCTATAGGGCTGGGATGTAAAATCTTTATTCATCAGGGATTTTTCAACTGATACTGTTATCTTGCTGTCTGTTAGCGCGCCAAACGTTAGCATTCAACGCAATACCTGATAGTCCCCGCCAGGAGAGGATTGAAGGCATACAGCCAGTCGTGCATATCTTTGTCACTAGTGGCTTGAAGCAATATTCCACGGTGCTCCGTGCACACGGCAAAAGTGTTGGGGGTCTATCGGAGAGAGAAAAAAAAAAGAAAGAAACTGTTAGAAGCTGGCTGGGTGTCTATCACTAATCAATAGGGAGACAACGGGTCGCACCTTGAGCATGGCCTGCTGGTCTTCACTGTACTCCACCTGCGCCGAGGACAGGTTGAGGATGGCTCGCTCTATGGCATCACGCTCCGTGTTGTAGATGTAGACGTACGGCCGGCGCACCACCACGTAGCGCTTCACCCAGCCGTTGGTGTGCGGCTCCAGGAAGTGCAGGTAACCCTTTTTGGACACAATGGGGCTGCGAGGAGGGAACACTGTTATTACCTCCAGTTTAGTTTGTAGACTTCCACACGCATTATGTTTTCTTCGATACGGCAACTCACCTGACTCGGATCTCTTGGATATCGGGAACGAATCTACGGATGCGAGGTTTCCCTTCTGAGCTTGCGCTCGCGCACTTTTTGGCATCAGCATCCGGCTGCGCGTCGGGACTCGGACTGACGGCACGGGAGCGAGGAGCGGGAGGTCTGCGTAATTGTATTTATTTATTTAAAAAATAATAATTTCCATCATATTTATTGTTTTCAACTTCATAGTATGATCTGTGACTAACTGCTAATTTACAACAAAAAGTGACATATTTAGGATTGACCTGAGATCTGTGTTGCCGTAGCAACCCTCCACCAGGGAAGGGCAGGTGGACGAGGGCGTGATGGTGTTGAGGGTGGAGATGGAGGCCGAGTCTCTCAGCGTGGTGACAGACATTTGCGAGATCTGAGACAACGATTAGTTTTGTTGCGTTTGGGTTATCGTGACAGAAAGTGCATGTGGTTCAGAACAGGAAGTACCTTGCTTTCACTGGCGCTGACGCAAACGTGAGTGTACTCTCTGTCGAAGGAGTGAGTGAGCAGCCGCAGACACTGTGCGGACAAAAAGCGCACGATTGATTTTGTAAGTTCATAAACGATTGTAAAATGTTGCACGTCAGTATTGTAATTTCTAATGACAACATTTCATTTATTTTAAATTTGTATTTATTTTTCATTTTCAGCATTCCTCTCACTTCAAAAAGTGTACACTGATAAGTTTGTGTATGTTTCAATGAATGTGTTTTTAGTGTGTGGGTGGGGTCAAGTTCACCACATTCACTGCATCTTAAACATTCAGAGAAGTGGGAATGCAGTCAACCTTGGTGGCGAGCTCCCGTTGCCTGTCGGTGGTGATGTCGGATGCCGTGCAGACCCCCGGGTCTTCGGGCTCCTCGTCCGCCGGCTGCTGAGCCCCCCGACCCGCCAGCAGTAGGGTGGACTCAAGCTTCTCCCGCAGCAACAGGAAATGTTTGGTCTTCTCCACCTGACGGCCAAAAACAAACAAAAAATGAGATTTCTTACATTTGGCCCTCACTGGTCCCCTTCGGTGGCGACGTGACCCAAAAACAAAATGAGGTCGCTCACATCCTGAAGCAAGCTGAGCTTGTCGAGCTCCCACTGGTGCTCTAGGATGAGGCTGTCGCTGCGAGGCCTCCACCCGGCCAGGTTCTCCTCGCCGCGGACGTACGCCACTGACGTGTCCAGCACTCGCCGCCTGCGCCGCTGCATGCCCGGACTTCCCGCATCCGCCAGGTTGCACAGGCTCAACTCGTACACGCCCGTCACACGATTTCTTGTGGCGGAAGGAGAAGATGATGAAGATGTGAGACATCAAAAATAACATTTACAAAAAAAAAAAAAAATTGAGAACGCTTCCATTTTTACGTTTCACCTGATTTTCACACAATCTGAATCTGGCAAAAAAGGTTTCACATTATTGCTTTTTCATTTAATTAGTTCAACTTTTATTATTTTTGTTTTATTAAGAGGGTTTGGTGTGAAAAGGGGCACACATATGTGTGAGAGGTGTTTTAGTGTGCGTCTGTGGGAAGACAGAGAGAGAGAGAGAGAGAGAGAGAGAGAGAGAGAGAGAGAGAGAGAGATTGTATATGTGTGATGAAATGTTTTTTGTGTCCATTGAGTTTTTGAGTGTGGGTGTGAGAGGGGGTTTTAGGTGGGTGTGAGCTATTTTTGGGGGAGTTTTTTTGTGTCACGGAGGTGTGTGTCAGAGTTATTTTGGTGTGCGTGTGAGTTTGTGTGAGATTTTTGGCGGGTGCGAGTTTTTTGCGACTGTTTTTGAGATTAGAGGTAGCTTCTATTTACTCACTCAATTTGACTGCCACTTTGACTGGGTTTTCAGTTTTGAGCAATCTTTCACGTAATTTCTGACTCTCTCGTTAAAATTTGAGTGTTTTTAACAATGTGACAGGCTAAATGTGCATGAGATGTATTTGGTTTGCAGGTAAGAGAGCTTTTGGTAAGTGTGAGAGTTTTTTCTGTGAGGTGACAGGTTTTTTTTTGTTAGTGTGTGCGTGTGTGCGTGTGTGTGTGTGTGTGTGTGTGTGTTGGGGGTGTGTGTGTGTGTGTGTGTGTGTGTGTGTGTGTGTGTGTGTGCGTGTGTGTGTGTGTGTGTGTGTGTGTGTGTGTGTGTGTGGGCGGTAAGTTCTTTTCAGTTTGAGCGAGGAGTTTGCGTGAAACTCACCCATCGGCCGCTCTCAGGCTCCCGGTGCCGAAAAGATTGCGAATGGAACGCGAGGCGGATAGTTTGGTGTCGCGAGAGTAGAAGACCATGCACACGTCTTTGGTCACCACCGCCGGCTGCGTGCATTTCTCCAGCTGGAAAACACCGACATGATGATGCGATCCTGTCATCATCCGCGTTCATCATCCACATGACTGTTACTCAAGGGTCACCTCTAGGTACGCCGAGAGCGTCATGTAGATCTTTTCGCCGTGGGGCGTGACTCGGTTCAGGAGCAGGGAGTTGTGCATGGAGCTGTCCCACGCCGCCTCGAAGCGGTAGAACGTCCTGGGGGTAACCAATTGCCGCCACAGAGGCACACACGGACAACAATCAATTCAAGAGGTGCACAGATGCTACCGGTAAGTTGATGCAAGTGGTGAAGAAATGAGGATAGCATGCTTGATTGGCTGAGATGAAGCAACAATGAAGAATATGCGCACGGAAAGCCATTTGAGCAATTTTTCCAGATCCAAATTAAGGTCCGTGTACTAGTACGCTCTTTGTCCTCACTAGAAAGACAACTCTGTGCACTAATACAATGGCAAAGGCAGACTAGTCGAATAAACGTGGATTACATCACTTGTCATATTTTATCCATGACTAGTGCCACTTTTGGCCTCCTAACAAATAACTGTGCTGCACTCGTAACACTATGACGTGCTACTTGACATCTACTCGCCAGTAGTACTGCAATTTGACATCTGTACGCTACTATTACGACTAGGTAAGGCCTAGATGTAAACAACAGGAATTTTATTATGCCAGGAGTAGTACTATTAAGCACAGTTTCTCCTCACAAGTAAATATCAAGAATTTTGGAGAAACAACATGAAGAAACCAATCTGACCATTTATTCAATATCCTTAATAGCAATCTTTAAGGTCTATTTACTAGTATGCAAGGAACTGTGGAAATACTGTCTTCACTAGTGCGCCACAATTTTGGCGCACTATTAGGACAACTAGTAACTAGTGAGGCAAAACTGTGCACTAGTTGACATCTGCCTGCTATGAGTACGACGCGCGAAGCACTAGATGTTAACTAGTAGAACAGTTTTACCTCACTGGTAACATGTACACTAGCTGCGCAACGAGTGAGGACAAAGAATGTACTAGTACACGGATCCAAATGATTAAGGCTTTCCATAGACGAGTTAGGCAGAGCATCAATACCTCGGATCAAGTCCCCGACGGGAGATGCTGTGAGGAAGAAGAGATGACAGAGGAAGAGGAAGAGTGAGAGAGGTTGAGAGACAGGAAGTGGGCTGCATACGCTACTAGTCCCAGAAGTGATTTTATATATATATCTCTCTCCAACAGTGAAAATTAAGTACAAACATTGTTTGGAGAAAATACGGTTTAACGGTTACGAAATTTCAAAGCAAATTTTTGTCTCATTAAGATTGCATGTATTTTTTTTTTCTTCACAGTGTGGGCTGAAAACTGCTGGGTCACATGTGCATGGAACCCCCCCCCCCGATCCCCACTTGCGAAGCCGGGGCCATGCAGACATACATCATTCGAAGTATGAAGAGAACAAAGAACAAACAGCGACACGTGGAGCTGATGAAGAAATGGCCGTGAAGACACACGTGAAAGGATGAAGGCGCAAAATATGATACAGTGAACCGACGTTATATGGCGGGTCATCTTTCGCATCCCCGCTATTCCAACAATGTTTACGCGTCACATTAATGAATTAATCAATTTATTAACACGCGAATTAATTTATTTATTTATAGGGTGTACACATTTGTGATATACAAAATAATGATATTGCTCGTCAATGTATGAATTTTGACAGCTTTGTATCAGTTTTGTTCATTTGACATGAGCTGAATAAAATAATAAATCAGAAGTTTCTCACTCGTTACTCGGAACTTAAAGTCGTTTTGAATCACTGAATACTTACTCTTACTCAAGTCATTATCTGGAGGATTATTTTTTACTTTTACAGTACGCGTACAATTTTTGGTGAACCGAGCCGAATCAACAGTAAGCACACTTCACACCTTATTTTGAACATTATCACCTGCAATAAACGAGGGTTCACTGCTCATAATTGACAAATAAAATAAAATATACCTAGGCATGTCTGAATCAAGAAACTGTCTGCAAAAAGCAAAAAAAAATACCAAAACAAAACAAAAAAAAAACATTCCATTAGTGGACTGGAGGGAGAAAATTGTTAGCAGCCATTCAAATATTCCATGTTAGTTTCTCAATGCACAGCAACGCAAAGGACCAAAGACAGGTTACTTAACGGCAGCCGGTGCAGGCCAGGCTCGCAGGGAGCTTGGCAAATCAACAAAATTTCCCCACGACCAAAAATCATAACTTGAAATGAGCTTGAATTGTTCAATATGCTCGACACAATGTAAACACTTTTCACAGTTTTGCATGTAACATGGAAGTCAAATATAAAATATTCACTGACATTTTGGGAGGAATAAATGTTAAGAGTAGATTGCTGCGCTCGAGGCATGATCAGAAAAACGCTATTATGCAACAGAGGAAATGTGAATGTGCTGCATGTTGTGTTACTTCCTGGCATGGAATCACGTCAAATGACACGGTAGTGTGATTTCTATCGTAAAAATGAATGATAATGACAAAAACATGCAATGCCTCAGACAATGCTAGCAAGGCCAAATTTAGTGTACATAATATTTACGTTTCATGAATCTTTTTTTTCCCCACTGAAAAATTATAGCTTTGTTCCATAAAATATTTTTTTTAGTTTCTATCCATTTTCTGGGAAATTCAGAATTTTCAAAAATAATTAAAAAAATAATTATACACATCATGGAATCTCCCAATAATATATTATTGACTCAATATGGGCTTTTCTATTGAAAAAATGTTGACTTTTTCTATAAAATTTGACTTTATTTTTGATCAAAATGATTAAAAGAAATACTTTTTGTCTGTTCAAAACCGCATTTTTTTCAAATTAAACAAAACAAAACAAAATTCAACTCTTTCAACTAACATTACAAATCACTTCTCAGAACATTACACCTTTACAGTATTTACAAAATGTTCCGTTTCCCCTGCCCCTCCCATGTGAACTAATGCCTACGTAACAATAAAGTAACTACAAAACTAGTGACATAAAAAAAAAAAAAAAAAATGAACGCTTGGCTATTGAAGTCTGCATCAAGCTGGTTAATTCTTCGGTTAGTTGACATGATGCATGACGACGGAACGGGACGACAGGCGTGCCACGACAAAAAGTGAAATGACAAACATCGGAAGCTCGCACAGCTAGCGTGGCATCAAGTCGCGGCGACCATTTTGCATAGCAGCTCCTCTCAGTTGAACATGCATCGCCAAGTTGTCGTATGCTTGTATGAAAAGCCTTGTGAGCATTTATTAAATAGCCTTCAAATCTAGCTTCAGGTCCATGCACTAGTATGCCCTTTCACCTTATTGCCCAAGTATACCTGTCATCGTGCAAGGGCCTGACGTAGCCGGCGGACAAGATGTTAAGGGACAGAATGTTGGGGTCCACGATGCTCTCGTCAGATTCCAGCGTGTTGCGGAGACGTCCTGGTGTCAAAAACGAGTGCACCCATGAGACGATACAAAAAGATGAACGCAGAAATGTACGATCTAGCCACAACGTACCGACAACAAGCTCGCGCACGTCTCTCCAATCGATGTCGCCGCCAGATTCGTGCACGATGGTGACGGTGATTCTCCTCTGGAGGCCCTGTATAACAAAGACACATTTTTTTTGTTCGTATAAGTTTACAACTTAAGTTACAAAATAACAAAACGTATTATTCGACGTAAAAGTGTGAAGGAGTGCTTCGGGGTTTTTGGTGGAGGTAACAAAAGGGACCAACCTGGTGCAGGAGGAAGGTGCCGTGACAAGGCATTCCTCCTCTGTGGTCCACCACAGCAGGGAGATAGCTGGAAAACAAACAAACCCAAAAAATAAAAACACAGTCATTTAAATTATTTTGAAGAGACCGAGCAGGATATACGCTACTTACTCTCCGTTGGCTTCCAGCTCACAGATCTCAAAGAAAACCATCAGGTCATACTTGCAGTGGCACGGTCCTACCTGCGGGCGCGCCATCGCCGTCAGCTTGGTGGCTGGCACTAAACAGGAAACAGAGCCGATTAGACAGGAAGTTGAACAGGCTAAATAGGAAGTAATGCCAGCTCGTCCAATGTGGGAGCAAGAGAGGGAAGAAGACAGGAAAGCTATTATGGAGGGATGAAGAGAAAATATCATTTGCACTTTATTCTCATAACACAATTATGACTTTATCCTTATCTGTGCAGCACTTGAGATTTTTCTTTCAAATGAAACGTGCCTTATAAGCTAATAGTATTATACATTTTTTTTTGTTTGTAATATTTCTGACACCAAAAAACTCAAAACACTAGGTTTTAGTCTGTGAAAATGAAAACAGAGGACTCAGAAAAGCAAAACTTCACTGGACAGACACATCATTAGGTACACCTGAATAATCACGAGTGATTGCCGTTGTCAAAGAAGGTATCAATTGAACACTACATCTTATTGTGTTTGCAGTTTGCAGTGCTACTAAAATGTGTTACGCTTTGTGAGGTGTATCCTATGTTGTGGAATTCATCATATATGACCGCAAACATAGATCTTCAATGTAAGTTATGAGCCAATAAACAAAGTCCGTGTGGTCCAGAGGAAGGAAGAGCAGGGAAGAGGAAACACACGCGACACCCCAAAAAGTGAGAATCCAACTGACCGGTCCTGACACATCAAACAAAGTTTTCATGTCACTTCACTTATCTGTCGCTGTTTCTTCCAAATGAAAATGGATATTTTGAGCTGAGGTGTAACTATTTATAATGTCTGTTTAGAGGTGGTTCGAGTTTGATGAAGCATAAAAAGGCTGGACTTGCATAACCTGATTCAAGTGACAATTCACATACAGTATGAGTTATAAAGACAAAAAAAGTCATGTAAAAAACATCGATATCAAGAATCGAAAGATCTTGAAAGAGTGTTGATTTTAAAAATTAAAAAAAAAAATTCTGCATTTCTCGGAATTGTCAACATTTGTTTTGGGACCTCTTTCTTGACAACAAAATTCATTATATTTATTTATTTTTAGGAGGGGTAATAGATGACATTTTTCCTGTAAAAATGATGAGTTATTTCTTGAGAAAAACACAAATTTTCCAAAATCAGACGATATTAGCTCTTTGAAAATCTGCAAAAAAATTCACCAAATTTTGAACGATTTTTTTTTCTTCACATTTCAACCTAAGACAAAGACAATGACATTCAAACACCACCCTCCCCAAAATGGCCAGATTTTCTCTCTATTTTGAAGTTAAACAAATATTACAGAATACAGTTTTGTTAATCGGTCAAATATTCTTACTGTAAAAGATAAGGAATTTTTAAAAAAACGCATCGGACAATTAATCAATTATCAGAATTCAATTTTTCTAAATATTGTAAACAGGCTCAGCCTCAAAAAATCCTTATCGGTGGGGCCCTATTCTTAACAGTCGACAAAGTGAGTGACATTAAAAAAAGGCCTCGTGTCAGGATTGTCTGGAATCATCGTGAACCAACCCGGCGTCTGCGCTTTAACAACGGAACAAATGGAGGCGGGCACAGCGACCCACGCAGGCTCGTTCGCTTCCATTAGGAAGGAAGCGGCCAGGCCCGCGGCGGAGAGGGCGTGGCCCGACAGAGAGTCCACCAGTGCCCCGTTGAGCTTGTCGGGCACCAAATAGCGGATCAGCTCCAGCGCTTTCTCCTGGTTCTGCTCCAAGTCCGCTGCTCACAGGCAACGACAGCAACATGACCGACACGCGTCCGGCGGTGCAGTATTATGACAAAATCCACAAAACACTCCGTGTTGTGCTTCATTTTTGTTTTCTTTTTACCTGGTTTGGACAAAGGCATCACACGGGGGAACTGTCTCCTGCAGGGCCGCAGTGGACTATGAAGAAGGAAGAAAGTGTTAAAGCAGTATTAAAGTGTTACGGTGTTACTCTATTACTAAAGTGTTTGAACATTTATTATAACCATCCTTGATCATTTCCATTGGCGTGTCTATGGTGTTTCACTTTATATGCAAGCTTTAACCTACTGGGCCTATTTTCATTCGGCAAAATTAGAAAAGTTTGGTTGAGCATTTGGTTTTGAGAATATATTTTTCTTGTATGTATTTCAACTCAAATATCAGCCCCTTACTCAAAAAGAGGCAATTGAGTGTTTAGTGTGAATAATTTTACGAAAATATTTTTCACTTTGCTTTAATGCTTCAATGCTAGAATTCTGATGGATTTATTAACATTTTATAAAACAACTGACAGACAATAAGTGCTACCTGATGATATCTTTACAGAGAGGAAGAAAAACTTGTTTCTGGTAGTGTCCAAACACCTCAAACACAATCGGTTGAGTGCTGATGTAGTCCACAAACGATTTGGTTACTTCAACGGCAATCTGAAAAGAAGCAAAAGCGACAATGCGAGCTACTGAAGTAAAACAAGCTACAACACTTCATCATCATTTTCATCGTCCTCGGTTGTTACATTCTGCACGTGGTAAAAGCCCAGTGGCGGTCCACGGGGCGTGTTCTTCAAGGGTTCAGTAGAGAAGGCTTCGTCATGCCGGTGGATGAAACTGTGCACAGGAAAAGACACGTAGATAAGTCATTCAGGTGTGAATAAATAATAAGTTGACTTTTCCAGGGTTTTTTTTTTTTAAATCTTAAAAATCCTTTTTTTAGGATGAGGACAGTCTGACAAATATTTGTTTTTTCTAGAAATATTCAAATATTTTCTTGGAAAAAAAAACACTTACTCATAACTGACTTTTCTTGAAATTAAATAAATCTATTCTCGTAAGGTGAATTATTTTCTGGGAAAAACTGATATTTTCTTTGGAAAATAGGAAAAAATGTTCAAGGTGCGTCGGGGTGGAGAGATGTCTTACTTGAACTGGCAGAAGATGTCAGCGTACTCAGCGGAAATGTTGGATGCTTGCAGCACGGTCACACGAAAGGTGAAAACATTCCCGATCTTCAGATGCTCCACCGTCACATCCACTTGCCCATCCAGTCCCGACTTCGCTGCCAAGTCGTCTTCATTACTGCCAGCTGCCATCAAAGCACAAAAATAAACAAATATTAGTTAACAGCCAGGATGCTTCACTATAATGGAGTCCCTCAGAGTTCTGTCCTTGGTCCAATTCTCTTTTCATTGTACATGTGTCATGGGAATTTGAATTCCCATGTGTCATGGATCAGTTGTTTACCCGCTTTCATTCCACCCTACCTTGAACTCCAATGTGCAAAATAATAATTCTCACATGTGTTATTGTTGACCTCGTCCGCCGAGGGCCCTGTCTCCGTGCTCTGCCCCTCGCCCTCCACGATGCGAAGTTCCTCCTGGGAGATTCCAGTGCGTGACAGGCCCGCTGGGCAGGACTCAGACTGAAACTGAAGCAGGGCAAAAAAAATTGTCATTTGCAATATTAAGCGCTTTTACATTGAGGTTTTGTTGAAACTTCAAGGGTGCTTGATATGACAGGGTTTTTCCAGCACATTAAAAAAAAAAAAAAAAAAAAAGTAATTGACGACACGAAACAAAAATACAGCGACAACTCCCACTGCCCTCATTCCCCTAGATCACACGGCAAAGAAATCGTAAAGAGATTTCACTCTATGCGACATGCTATGCTAACTCTCTAAGGCAAACAATAAACTGTAACATGTTGTTCACGCACCTTTTCATATTGTTGATCTTCAAAGGAGATTTTGGCAGTGCCCGACTGTCGCACCCCTGAGCCGTAGTCGGGTGCTTCCTCATCGGCTGGAGGGTGGAAAGATTGACATTTATGAGCCAATCGTGCGCAACTCCCTTTATATAGCCCTACCCGTACTGTGAGCCTTACGCGATATGGCCTGCACCGCCACACGCAGGAAGCCCTTAACGTCGCCCTTCTCGCTTACGACGGCCACACGATGCACCAGGGGAACGGGGTAGAGCAGGTTGCTTAAGTATACAAATGACCTGGACGAGAAATGGAAACAGAAGGACAAAATGATCGCGTCGAGTAGGAAAAGATGACGAATCACAATACAAAGAACACTGAGCTGCGAAGCAACCAAACACAAGCTGGGACTGCTCTTGAGCGATGGCCATGGCTGCCCTTTACTCCTGCTTTCATTATTCATATTTTACGATTTTGTATTTTATTCATCTTGCATTAGGTCAGGGATGACCAAACTGTGGTGCGTCCATTGGGTGCGCCAAATTAAGAATGCAGAGCAACTCTGATAGAATAATTATGTTTTTATTTTTTTTTTTACCAAAATAAAACAGAAATGATTGATTCCTTAAAACATCGCTGGGCTGAACAAAAGGCCTCCAGGAGCTGCACTGGATTTAAATTATAATTGCTAGCTGGGTGTAAGAGTGTTTGACAGCTTTTTACATGTAAAACCATTTTCTTTCCATAAACAATGTACAGAAATAGCCTAAATTTAGATGACATTTTTTTAAAAAGGTACTTGGTCGGACTGCACCACATCCCCACGTGTTAATTTGAGGGGGTAGACATTTAAGGGTGCTAAAACAGAGGGACGGCGGGGGGCAGGCTTATGACAAGATTGGTGAGGTGTTAAGAAAGGCATGCTCAGGACAAAAAAATAAATTAAACAATGTTTTTTTGGGGGGGGACGGCATTCAAATGACACAAAAATCATCATCATCATTATACGGGGTAAGGGCGGGGCAAACACGGCTCAGCCACAGCCGACCAATCAAATCAAAGGACACCTCGGCAAGGCCACAAGGAGGTCATGGAAAAGAAATACAGTCATTAAACAAAGAAAAATGAAAAGGCTTGTGCTCTGGCATGCCTAAAAAGAGACGGCTGAGGTCGAAACCAGCTCTTTCAACTTGGGACGTCAACTTCGGGTGTCATGATTAAAGATGTCAAGACGTGACAAACACACGCAACACAAGCAGGTCGTTGAGCTTCGACATTGCTTGGTATGATCCCATCCCGGCTGTTATGTAACAAGAGAGTTAGCGCGTTACAACTGTTAGCAATGAACATGGGGTTGAGGACAGGAAATTGTCATCAAAATAAAAGCCCAGAAATGTCTACTCCAGCATTGGATATTTGCATAGGAAATATTTGAACAAGTTACATAAGAAGACCAAACATGCAAGTGCTACTAGTAATCCATTAAAGGTCACTTGAGTATTTATTCAACATCCTTCATATCCAGCTTAATCAATATCGCGGTTATTTTTTGTTGTTGTTTGACCTCATCTATGCAAAATCTTGCCGTGCTGCCTGTTTTAAAAACCGAAATTCATTTGTCCTGCCATTGACGGAGATCCATCTGAAAAACACGCGTACACTTTATCCCGCCTGTCATTCGTAAAGGCGACCCCGCCTCTCAGCGTGAAAGAGCTAGTTTCGCCCATCAGCACGCGCTCTCTCCCTGTAAACCTCACCAACCTTCCCACTACACTGAATAATGGCGAGCGGTCGTAAAAGGGATCCTGGCCTTCGCTGGAGCTTCGGCACAGCTCTCGCTCCTCCTCCACCTCCTCCTCATCATCATCCTCATCATCCTCCTCCTCCTCTCCCACCAGCTCCGAGCTTGGCTCATCCAAAAAGATATCATCGTCCAGATCCTCCGACTCGTCGTCCTCGCCGCCGCCTCGAGCCTCCGGCTGAGGGGAGTCGGTGGTCTCGGAGGCGGAGAGGGTGGGGGACGGAGTGGGGTCGCTCATGCGCTCGCTCATGCACGCGTTGAAAAGAGGGTTTCTGGGAGAAGCGGGTTAGTGGAGAGAAAGTATACACTGAATATGGATCGGCCCCGCCTGTTAGTGGACCCACACCAGGACGGGATGCACAACAAGCTAGAATATGTTTGATGATCTTTGATGTTGGAGTGGGGGGATAAAAAAAAAAACATTTTGGGGGATGGTCAATGACTCCAATTTTTACCACAGGGTAATAGCGTACCTGCCCACCAATCTGAACCATGGGAAGCGGTCGTAAAAAGGGTCGCCGCCCGTCATGGCACCTTCACCGTCGTCTGTGGTGGGATTTGTACCCGTTGAGGAGGCAAGGGCAATGGTAGGAGGAACCTCGGCAGCACGGTCGTACATCTCTCGCATGAGATCGAGTCTTTGCCTAAAAGGACACATTTTTCCCAGTCAATACTATTCTATCATAAGTGGAGTGAATCAAATCGCATTTTGATTGAAGTGAAGTGTATATCATTGCTGTTAGATGGAAACCATGTGTCCAAAGATGGCAAACAAATCAATATTATTGGCCTGCATTTGAGGATGTAAAGGTGTCATTACAACTATATATATATATATACTCACAACAAAACCTGGTGTCTGCCGACTCACGAGCGCATTAACAGTTCCTTAATTGCTCCATTTTTTGGCCACTTCAGTGTATCTAAAGTGTGCTTGTACATCAAATTTCGGCTCACAACACAAAGCAGAAAAAAAAACTTTTAAAGTGATCCAAGCGACAGCTTGTAAGACAAAAAACGAATACCATAAAACCTAAGGAATCTTTTTTGGGGAAAAAAAAGTGTTATTCACAGGATTTTACAGTACTTTCCCCATTAAAAGTAAAGCTTCAACTTTCAAAAGGAAAGTTTGCCACTTTGAAATTCCCAGATTTTGACAATCCTCTGAGAACCTGAGTTTTTCCAGGGTCCAATAATGAGTGGCTCCATTCTTCTGATCCTGCACCTCCACGGCCACGATTGTTTGCGGAAAGATTCGCCTCTCACGCTCTTTTCCGGCCTCAGGCGGAAGCAGGTCGGGTGGGAGCGGCGAATAGAGGGTGTCGGTCAACAGCACAAACTGGAACTGAACCTGTCGGGCACAAACAAACGCCTTGTTAGCATCATGGCAGCTATCAATGTGGACATTACGGCCACATGTTTTTTGGGTTTTTTTTTTTTTTTGCCTTCTTCTTGAGCTCAACGCTGATGGCGTTGGCCTCCTTGAGGAAAATGGCGTTGCCCCAAAGGAGGTCCCGTAGGGAGGTGAACTGATAGCACCTCCACCTGCGAAAGCTCCACTCGGCTAGCTCTCTTTCACGCTCGCTCCACTGAACTGTGAGACAGCAAAGAACATGAAAGTTCAGCTTTTAGTCACACGACATACAAGCGATGATTTGCTCCATGCGTTACTACCTTCCTCTTCTGGTTCCTCCTCTTCCTCGGGAGCCTCTGGGTAATAACGATCCACCTGCTTCTGAAGAGCCTCCAGCTTGCTCTCATAATCCTGGAAAATAATGGGACCACACGCTTCATTCACAAGATAATGAGCTCTAATACAAAAAAAATAAGTTTGCGGTTGTACACAGCTATTCTGTATTATCATACTGAGAAATAAAATTTGGGTTATCTTTTGAGTGTGAAAATCGGTATGGTGCAGTGCAGTTTTCAAAACGCAAACTACTTTGTCCGCTAGTTGGTTTGTTGGTCGGGTCGGTCAATCAAATAGTCAGTTGGTTGGTCACAGGGTTGGCTTGCTTATTTGGTTGGTCAGTCGGTCAGTCAAACGAAATTTGGCTAGTTCGGTGATGAGCCAGGCAGTCGGTTTGTTCCTGAGATAGTTGGCTCGTTGGTTTGACAGTCAGTCAGTCATTTATTTGGTTCATTGGTCCTTCATAAAATCGGTTGACTTGTTTTTTTTTTTCTCAGTCAAGGGTCAGTTAGTCAGATGGCCGGTTAGTTACTTTGTTGGGTGGCCAATTAGCTAGTTGTGAGTAGTTTTTTGTTAGCCGCTTATCCTCACGTACCAGTCTTTGTTGCTCCAGCAGGTTGTTGGCCTCCTCTCTTTCTTTGCGATATTGATCTTCCAACTCGTGCAGCCTAAACACAAACATTGTTAGTTGAAGCATTCAGCCCATGATCGGAATAAGTCCTCAATTTGTTTACCTCTGTTCCATTTCTTGCTTCATGTCAATGCCTTGCTTCTCCAGAAGCTCCCTCTGGGCAAAGGCCCAGTCCACGGGCTCCGCGGGAGTCTCGGCACACGGGGTCCTCTCCCTCTCAGCCCGCGCCTGCACGGGGTGGTTGAAGCGGAACACGTGGCTCTTGCCCAAAATGATACGATTGCCTGAACATGACAGTAGCACCATATCAGGGCAAACGTAGAGTACATATGTGCGTCTACAAATTGATATGATGTTACTAAATAGGGATTGTAAACAGTAGTCAGTAGGTCAGTTAGTTTGACCAACAAAACAGTCAACCAATCTGTCGATGAGTTCGTTGGCTGGTTGGCTAATATGCCGGTCAACCAGTCAGTTAATCAGTTAGTTATGGATTGGTTGAGCCATTCACTGGTTGGTTACTGAGTAAGTTGCTTGGTTAGTCAGCTTATTAGTTATAATGACATAAGTCATTCAGTCGGTCGCTTGGTTGGTCACTTAATCAGGTAGTTGTTTCACTTGTATTTAGTCAATGGGTTAATTTGTGAATGGTTGGTTACTTAGTTGCTTGGTTACGTCATTAGCCACTCAATTAGGAAGTCAGTTTATTTAGTCAGTCTGTCGGTCACTTGGCTCATTAGGTAGTTGCTTGGTTGATGAGTCAGATGCCTTGTTAGTCAATGGTTGTTTACTTAGTACCTCAGTTGGTTAATTAGTCATATGGTTGGTTAGTCATTAAAAAACTGTCATTTTATTGATATTGTGACTTCTATATTAATGGTGATGTTCTTAGAACAATAGCAAGGGATTCCATTTTCCTGACCTGATTTGAGGACTGTGGCCTCTGTTACTCTCTTGCCGTTGACGTAGGTCTCAGCTCCTTCGCAGGGCTCCAGGACAACGGCTACTTGGCAACAAAGACCCCAGCAATGTAAAACAACAACAACAACGCCTGTGTGGATCTAACCTAAGATCACCCACTTTCCCCCTGCGGTCCAGAGGAGCTGGTGAAAGTGCAGTGCTCGTCCTTGATGAAGTGGCCGCTAAGTACGATGTCCTGGCGGCTTGCGGCATCCACACGGCCCACTCTGAAAAAAAAAATTCTTGGTTAGTTCATTCTGCCAGCCAGGTACAATTAGGGTGAAATCTTGATTGAAGAGAAGCCTGGAGGTAAACGGTCTTGGGTGTGGTCAGTGAAAATGAACTGAAAAATGTGATTAGCCACAGTTGTTCAGTTTCTTGGTTGGTTAGTCAGTCAGTTCATGGCTCATTTTAGTTAGTTTGCTGAAAAAGTTAAAAGTACCAGTGCAGTGGAAATGCACCAGAACAGACTCCTTTATGGGATCTGATGACAATGTTTTTTAGGATTGGGAAAGGAGCATGCAGCTCATCAATATAAGTCTGGCTGCATCTAACCTGGTGATTCCATCCTTGATGTAGTAGAGTAGGCACTCGGACATGAGCGGGTCCTCATTCAGGTTCACCAGATGAGGCGTCTGAGGGGATACAAAAAATAAAAAATAAAATGAGCTCGTCGTCTGTACAAGTCAATTTCTGTCTGTCTCTTTATGATCCCTTTATGAAGTATAAACATTATGCAAACACTGCATATCACAGCGCCCACACAAAGCAATCTCGTAGAGAGAAAACATGCAGATAAAGCGAGCTTTATCTCACTTTATCTTGAATACTGTCAGGCAGTCTCGGGAGCTCTTGAGATAAAACTTAATGAAGGTCAGACTCAAAAGCACTCGCACACTTCTCCGCTACAAACCTCGTTAGGGGAAAACAGCCCGACAGTGTCAATAAACACAGCCTGGGGCTTTCTGTGGCTGTCTGACGGCTTAGGGGGCGAATAAAGAGGCCATTTATTCTTCAAATGCTTCAAAGCACTTTGAGGAGTCAACTCAGTGGATGTCCGATTACCTTCTTGGGGGAGAAGACGCCAACTGTGCCGCCGTCCTCGCGCATGGCCACACCCATTTCTGCCAGCAGGGCCTCTCTGTGGATGAAGACATTGTTTGAGTTAGCTGCAACATGCTAATCGTTACGTAACAAGACAATCCCATGCTCGGAGTGAGTCTTTGTCATTGACGGGAAGTTGTAGGTCACCGTTCCATTCGAATGGCTTCAGTCCGACGAAGTTTCTCTTCCCATGTCTCGTTGAGCTCTGCGATGATTTTCTCAGTTTCCTGATGTTTATTAAAAAATAAAAAAATAAATAAAAATAAATTAAAAAAAGGAGTAGCGTTGGAGCATTTCCTCATTTCTGCCTGTGGTAGGTAGCCTTTGATAAATGACCGTTTCAAAGCAAAAGGGATGACATTCTGCGTCTTTTGGCTTCTTGAGACTTTTTTGTGGGTCTCCTAATGGTCGGCATGCCTTCCAAAGGAAAGGGAAAGGTTTTGGGGCTAAATTTTCATAATTGCAAGTTAATTAGAATATCAGGGTTTACGGCAAATCATCAAACTCTGCTGCCATGCTCGGCCCACACACTGACCAAAATTCCACTGTTTTATAAATTAGCATCACCTATCATTCGCGATTCAAAATTTGGTAACTTAATTGGACCCTTAAAATGGCCACTTCATCCCAAACAGGGAGAGTTCCTGTGTCTTTTCAGGTGTGGCTTTTAGAGACTTTTTTGTGGGTCTACTCATGATATGTATGCCTGCCAAGTTTCATGTTTCTAAGGGGAAACTGACTTTGGGGGCTGAATTTTTAAAATTCAGGACAAATTTGAATTGGATGTTTTTAATTTTGCCTCCACACTCACCTTCAGGCGCTCAATGGCCTCCTCATTGGCCGGGCTGAACATGATGCGGTCGTGCAGGCTGGCGATGGAGCCAGCGCGGCTGGAAAGGGCTGACAGTGACGGCGAAGGACTCATGCCCGTCATGGCGTTGGTCACTGGAAAGCAAAAGACAGAGAAAAACCTCTGATTGATAACTGAGGCCTTTGCTGTTATTATTGCTCTCGCCGTGCGACAAGCAAGCCAACAAGCGACAATGAAAAAGATGGAACACTGCGGCCATCAAGTTAAAAATAAACAAGCTGCTAAATGTATTATGCTCATACGCCATTTCAGATAAGCGAGGATTACAAATGAAATATAACAGCGTGGCCATTTCTGTGACTGATTAGCAGTGCATCTCATTTCAACGCTGCACTTTTTTTCTGTCATTGTTATTTTTTAGCTTTAATTGCACAGCCCGATTGTCAGCTGAGTCATCTCAGTGTGGAGGGGCTAGCGTTTAACTTGAGCCGCGTGAGGTGAATCAGCACTTATCCTCGCGAGGGCCGCTGATGTGCTGGAGTCTATCCCAGCCGTCTTCAGGCAGAAGTGGGTTCGCCCTGAACTGATTTGCCAGCCGATCGCAGAATATGGGGAACTCAGCTTTGAAAATGGCTGGCAGCAAATTATTTAAGAACGTTTAAATACTCTGTGAAATCAAATTGCATGAGTGTCATTAAGTAACGCAGGGCAAAGCGGAAATAAAGCTGACATTTGAATGTGATGCAAAGCTGGCAGAAGAGCAAGAAACCAACAACAACACACGTTTCAAACCCTCGATCTCAGCAGCAGACCCTCGAAATGCTTGGAGAGACAAAGAGAAAGACAGAATAAGACAAGTACCACAGGCTAATGACTTCATTAAAGTGATTTTCAATTAACATCAATTAGGATGCTGACTTTAACCCTTATGCAGTATCTGTCCCAAATTGGTCTTTTTTGGACAGTTGGACACTTGTACACACAGCCAAAAGTGTGAAAAATAACTCCACGAAGCTGAAATTTTGCATAGGATGTCAAAAGGGGTCAAAGTTCAAAATGACCGCAAGCGGGACATTTTTGAACATTATAGTGGGTATATATGACATCGTGACAAATTTTGCCACTTGTGTGTAATACTGCTGTGGGTTAAAATAGCAGTTGTTTAAAGGTTTTTAACATTTGTGCTAATTTTCCTTAGCCCAGCAATGTTTCACATGATGTTAGCAAAAAGCTCGTGCGCTTGTTTTGGATCTTCTTGTTATTTACAAATTGTACTCTCTTACTACCATCATATTACCGTTTTTAGCCATCTTTGTTTTTAATATTAACTCAACATTAAAAAAAATTACTTTTGCAATGATGCCGTCCTAACAGGAACACTATTTCAAAGGGACTTTTATGTCCGAAAGCTGCAAAAAATGTGCGCTCACTTTAGCCCATCTATGTTTCACATGATGTTAGCAAAAAGCTTGTGCGCTTGTTTTGGATCTTCTTTTATTTACAAATTGTACTGTCTTGCTACTATCATATTGCCGTTGTTAGCCATGTTTGTTTTTAAAAATTTTTGTTTTAAAAATTACTTTTGGAATGATGCTGTCCTAACAGGAACACTATTTCAAAGGGAATTTTATGTCCGAAAGCTGCAAAAAATGTGCGCTCACTCTCGATGATGTCACCCAGGCCTTGGGCAAAGAGCAGGTCTTTCAGGCGAGACACCTCCTCCTTTAGCTCACGCACCAGCCGGTTGTTAGGATCCTCGTTGATGACTGCGTTGCAGCGGATTTGCTTGGCGCGGTCGGCATACCTGCCATCATGAACACACATTACCACAAGTAATTTCTGGGAAGACAGAGCATTTATGTCACTAGTTGAAATATATTCATCTGCTCCCCTTTCATATGGAGTTCCCCAAGGTTCAATTTTAGGTCCGGTTTTCTTTCCGGTTTGTACTTGTAATGCTGTTATTTAAAAAGGCTCAGTGTCAAAGTTGACCAGGATTTTAACGTTGCTCTTTTGAAATTGCTTTACAATACATTTGGATTGGATTTTATGTGGCAAACGCAGAGAGGTCGGCGTGCTGTTTTTACCTGAGTGTGCTGAGTGTCTCATCATAGTTAATGTCCGCCGGGCTCAGCGCAGCCACCATGGCGGTGCGTGAATTCCCGCCTGATGCAAAGTGGAAACACGCAGCATTAGCAGAGTTTAAATGAGAAAAGGCACTTCATAGAGGTTAGCTGATACCTACCAAGATTCTCTCGGAGTAGCCAAGTCAGAACTGAATCGCGATAAGGAATGAAACTTTCCACTTTCTTCTTCTTTTTGTTCTGCGTGTTAGTGAAGGCTGGGTTATTACCTCCGCCAGGAAGCTTATGTTTAGTTAGTTATCTGAAAATAATTTCTTTGGCATACCTTGTTTGGTCCAGAGTCCTGAAATGAACCACAGTGTGAACATCATTTTAATTAACACACATGAATAAAGGTGAACGGTGTTAGCTCTTCTATTAGCTCTATTTCTGGAAATAGTTCTAGCCGTTGTTCTTGTTCTGTTCCTCGAGTGGGTCTGCTTCTACTTCTTCTTTGAGTCCAGGTACTTAACCTTGTTCTAGTCCAATTTTTATTGTTCAGGGGGGTTTATTCAGGCTTTAGTTCTGGTTATGTTTCCAATTCTGCCTCTTATTCTTGTACTGGTTCAGGTCCTGGGACTTGTCCTAGTTTTATGGTTCAGGCTCTAGTTCTGGTTATAGTTGTAGCTATGATTGTGGTTGCAGTTCTTTTTCTATATTGTGTTCTAATTCTTGTTGTGTTTCTGTTTCCTGTACTGTTTCATCAGGGCTGGGACTTGATCTAGTTCTTGTTCTGGTTCGATCTGTACAATGAGAAGAATTTCGGAATAACTCTCACCACTTCTGCCAAAGCGGAGATGACTTTTCCCAGCGTGGTTAGGGATTTGTTGATGTTGGCTCCTTCCTGTGGCCCAGCAAAAATAAGGTCACATGATGATTTTAATGTACTCGCCTATAAGATGTGAAATTTTTGAAAAAACAAAACAAAAAAAAAATGTCCTACCTTCAGCCTGGTCCCTTTGGCTCCAGTGGAATCAGCTCTCTCGCTGCCGGCCAAATCCACCAAACTGATTTTACTCACCTGCAAGCGCAGAGTTGAGGAGACTCCAGTCAAGAAAACATGAGAAAAAGGCTTCTTCATATTATGACAATGTCTCTGACATGTGGTCACACCACGGAGTGCGCACCAGTGTTGACATTCTGGGCAGCAACACCAGTTTTTATGTACCGTAGTCACGTTGTGTTGAGTTGCATCCACACAACGTTGTGTGTGTGTTACCTTCTCAGAGGTGTTGTCGGTGTCGGCGTCATGGCGTTTCTGAGTGAAAATGATGTTAAAAACGGCGTGTGAGCGACTGCTGGTCTCGTTCATGTTGGTAGCAGCCACCGTCCTGTCAGGAGAAAGGCAGTCACTTCAGTTTGTCTGCAGAATGCTTAACAGCAGCGGTCCCCCAACGGCTTTTACCGCCCCAGACCGTTTCATACAAGTACAAGTAAATCGAACAAGCGACTGCTCGTAACTCGAAAAACGCTCAAGTTAGAGCCCTTGTCAATCAAGATACTACTATAGTTGAGGTCTGAGTCTGCCCTACCTGGCTTTGTTGCCAGAGTCCATCAGATCCTGGATGTCATTGTAGGAGGTGACAGCCAACTTGGACAGGTCCTCCACGTAGGGGCCCATCAGCGGATGTTCTCGCACCCGCAGGTTGCCTTTGTTCTTGGGGTTGAGCAGGTCACGCACACGCTCGCAGTAGATTTCCATGTAGCTCACCTACCAAAAGGCAACAAGTCAGGACTGAAACACAAAAACTTTGTTTTTGTTTATCGATTAATCGACAAAATAATTGAGAGAATAATTGATTATAAAATAATTGTTGGTTGCAGCCTTATCGTCGGTATCTTATTTTTAATCTTTTTTTTTTTTTTTTTTTTTATCTCCGAAAAAAACAAAAAAAAATTTTTACTTTGTTTTTGTTTATCGATTAATCGACAAAATAATTGAGAGAATAATTGATTATAAAATAATTGTTGGTTGCAGCCTTATCGTCGGTATCTTATTTTTAATCTTTTTTTTTTTTTTTTTTTTAATGCCTGAAAATAGTCAATATAATTTTGTTTCTGCTTTGGTCGCGCCACAATTTTGTGTGCATCCAACAAAAGGATGAAATGAGGGACAAAATGTGGGCTCTTACCTCCACGGAGTAGGACATACTGTTGTCTGTGTTGTCGTTGATTTTGGTAAAGAGATCTTCACACAGCTGCAAGCGAGAAAATGACATTCATCAGGATTTCGTCACAATCACACAATCATCCTCATAATGAACCTTTTCATAATGCTTGTAAAAAAACAGATAACGGGGTTCTTCCGAGTAGCAGTACACTGTAAATCAAATCCGAAGTCAAATGCCACCCGGAACTACGTGTGATGTCATGGAGAGACGGTTTATTGGATGAGTCATCACTACACATGCGTACCAGCGGGATAATGCCCTGTTGATCTTTGACGTCTTGCTTTCCCATCATAGTGTAGGACTTGCCGGCGCCTGTCTGTCCATACGCAAAGATGCAGACGTTGTAACCCTCGAAGGCGTGCAGCAGCATTTCCTCGCCGATGTCTTTGTAGACGAGCATTTGAGATGCGTAGTTCACATCCTCGGGCTGCCGGTGGCAATGAAAACATATTTGTGAATATGAACAATGCACAGCATCGAGGTGCGGGTTTGTGGGAGGTTACCGAAGTGTGTGACCAGTAGGAGTAATCAAAGTTGAAGCTCTTGTTGTCTTTGGCCTGCTTGGGGTTAATAATGGCTGGAAGAGAGAAGGACAAGGAGAAAATATTATCCACCCATCCATTTTCTGAAGCGTTTTCCTCATTGGGGTTTTAAATGAATGACTTACTGTTGTTTATTTTTATTCAATTAAAAAAATGAGGATGCAAAAATTAATCACTTAATAAAACAGACCAAAAACATTTCTTACAAAACAATAAATTACTACATAAATTTTCAACGCTTTTTTTAATTCAATGAAAACAGATCAGATAAACTGGGGCTAGAAAAATAATCACACTTTTAAAACAGTGACTACATAAATAAAAATGCATACAAATAATGTATTTATGATTATTTATACAATTATAATTATAGATTTAATTTCAATAAAAACGACAACATATATTTTGGATATAAAAGATGTGGAAAAATAAAAATAAATAAATATGAGTCTATATTTATTACTCTGTGTTTTTAACTAATCAAAGATATTCCTCAACCATTATTTCAAAATGACACAAAATATAAATTACATGAAAACAGATCAAATAAACACAGGCAAGTAAAATAACCACAATTCCTTCCAAAAAGCAGTCAATAATTAATTAAATAAAAAATACATGATAGATCAAATGTACAGTATTATTTTTTATTCTTATCAAATGTGTTATTTATTTATATTTATGTGTTCTCTCAAGTGTGATGATATCCATCATCTGTTTTGTATTCAATGAAAATAAATACTAAATTCCTTTTCTGAAATCTAACATTCATGGATAACAATTAGTCATTATATTTTTAGTGATTGTATTTGTCAAGCATAGTATGAATGTGTCAGGAAAAAAAGGACGGGTAGAAACCATCCAGTAAAACCCATTATTGGCCGGTCAATTTAGAAGATGAACATCTCATTCCTTGCCCGGAAAGGGAAGCACCACATCGGCCTTTCAAGACGTGACCTAGAGCGGCGGAGGTTCTAATGAGCTCGTGGGCTGACGTCAGCGCCCCTTGCTGTGCTCTGCCGGTGACGCCACTCTGAGCGGCGCTATTAGTACGCCGAGCACGTCTTTCTGTGTACCACGCATGAATTTCTTTTCACGAGGGCAGCACGGGCGTGGCAGCAGCTGAGTGCTCGTTTGCTCACACCGGTCGGTACACAACCTAATGACATCCGATGCAAGAGCTGGATGGAAATAACAATAAGTCATGTTCACTTTTTTAAATTCAGCCCTCGAAGCCACTTTCACTTGTCAATAGGACATTTCGTCAGGATGTCTATCATGGGTAGACCCACCAAAAAGTATCAAGACGCCTTGGAAGAAAAGACGTCGGAATTCTGCCCTTTTGGTTTAAAGCAGCCATTTTACTGTAATTTTAAAAGATATTTCAAAAGCATTCTTGTCTTACAGATTTTGTCCAAAAGCTAGTGAATATGAACTAAACTAGACAACTAGTAAACTAGACAAATTAGTGATGCTAAATAAAAGGGATATTCAATAGCATTTTTCTTCAGACTTATACCAATATGAGTATTTACTCTTTGAATATTCACGATACTACATCTAGTACTTTTGATACATTAACTTTTCTTTAAAACAATGACAAAAAAAATTATGAACAAAGATCTTTCTTCCTGAGACCGATGATGATTGACCATTGTGCGAAATGATGAGTGACCATTATGTGAAACTGAGACAGTGTCACGCCAACTACTGCCAAGGAGGACTTACTCAATGTCCCGATTTTTTTTTTCGGCCTTTAATACCGGCGGCTGGTATTGGCAGCTTCTACGATTATACTTTACAATAGGGCCAGTATCAGCCCGATGCCAAAACCTGGTTAGCTTCTCACTCATCCCTACTAAATAACAAAGGGTTTGAGTGGTTCTCATGATGATTTGTCATATTTTGTACAAAGTAAAACAGGAAACTAATAACACCACAATGTTGAAAATTCAGCCCCAAAGCCAATTTCACTTCGCAACATGAAATTTGGTACACATGTCTGTTATGAGCGGGCCCACAAAAAAGTCTCAATAAGCCAGGTGTATAAAAAAAAAAAAAAAAAAAAAAAAAAAAAAAAACAACAACAAAGTCAGCCATTTTGACTTGAAGCGGGCATTCAAGCCATTTCGAGAGACCCTTCAGAGATGGACTTGATTTTGTCCAATTGGTACAGAATTTGAAGATCAAACACCAAATGTTTGATGACCTGCCATAAAATAGGAAGCTCCAATTCAGTGAGAATATTCAAAAGCATGACACTCCAATAACTCCACAATTTGAAAATTCAGCCCCCGAAGTCCGTTTCACTTGACAACCTGAAATTTGGTAGACATGTCTATTATGAGCCGACCCACAGAAAAGTCTCAAGAAGCCGGGCCTGGAAAAAAAACACAGGAACTCTGTCATTTTGATTGAAGGAGTCCCTGCGTGTTTCAGGCGAAGGGCTAAGCGCTCTCCAACAAGAGGCCTATTATTGCTTTAGCTCAGTGTCTTGCATCCTAATTCATCTCAGCGTGGGAGAAACCCTCTCCATCCCAACAGTCCTACCCTTCTAAAAAAAAAAAAAAGATGTCTGCCATTCTTCTGCCATGTGGGAAGCGGCCTGTCGAGCAGCATGGCAACAAAGACGACGAGAAGACAAGGAGACGTTTATATGCCGTCAACACTGCAGAAGCAATGAACTCGTTCACACCCCCCACCAACACACACACACACACACACACACACACACACACACACACGCTCCCAAGACACATCCAGCGAACACTGAATGTCTATGGTGGACACCAAGCTGCATTGCAACAGACTTAAGTGAAATTGTGGTTTAAAACACAATAAGAAGGCCTATTATGAACCAAAGTAGACTGGATTAAGCATATTAGACACATCCAGCGAACACTGAATGTCTATGGTGGACACTAAGCTGCATTGCAACGGACTTAAGTGAAATTGTGGTTTAAACACAATAAAAAGGACTATTATGAACCAAAGTAGACTGGATTAAGCATATTACATTGTGAAATGACCATAAACTCAAAAAAAAAAAAAAAAACCAGACTACGATGGAGAAGTTTTGGGAAACCAAAAAATGAGGCAAACTGTCTGGATGAATTAAGCCATGTAGCTTCCTGGAATGTAAACACAAGATACACACAGCAACATGATGGAGAGACAATATGGCAGCTTCGACTATAAAAAGTGAGTACACGACAAAACGAGGCAGACTGGAAGTAAAAAAGTAATTATTGTAGCTCCATGGAACGGAAAGGTGGATGACACACACATAATTTATATCCCCAGAACTTAAAAATGGATCCACACAACATTGTGGAATGACTGCATATCACAGTTGTGTTTTTCAATTAACTTGAGCTCAGCCAGCAAAAAAAAGAAAAAAAAATCAAAAAGGCCCACAGCTGAGAAGCCATGTTGTCGTTTAGTCAGCCGTGACGCGACACAGGGGACAGCAAGGGTTTAAATTAGGCCAAACGTTAAATATTTCACAAGGCTTCATCTATTATTGACGCGTGGCTTTAACTCGGCGAGCAGACCACATATCCAGTGTCTCCTCCATAGGCAATGCTACACCGTAAACTTCGTAAAGTACATTTTACTCTAAAAAGACTATATTTGGTCTCAGTCTAAACAGAGCAATTTTTTGCACTCGGAAGAGAGTAAAATATTAATTTTTCACTGGAAATAATTTGGAGCGATACGGACTTGTAAAATAAAGTTATTGAACAAAAGAACACAATTGCAATTCCATCTACTACCCTCGAAATTGAAATGTGGGTGTGGTTACAACTCACTGGTAGTGTTTCCTGACATCTGGATGATGCATTTGCTCTCTTTGCTCATCTCCCTGGAGTTGAAAGGCCGGACACGGACCGCCACCTTCACAGAGGCTCCCGCCATGGTGCACCGCCCTTCTTAGCCGACTTATTTGGACCACCGCAGCTCTGTGGAGGGAAATTGAACAATGAATTCGAGTTACTTTTACTGTACGTCAATGAATATAAAAAGAATATTCGACAACTTCCTGCAGACTAGAGCTGGACAGTTAGAGATTAGCCTGGATTTATGATTCGACTCTTTGTGGAAATCTGAACATTTCTTTCACTGAATCGAGCGAGTGGACGCACTGGAAACACTGCAGACTTGAATAATTCATTTCACTGGCTCGAGTAAACAGACCCACCGAAAAAACAGTCGACTTGGATGATTTGGTTCACTGACTTGAGTTGGTGGACTCCCTGGAAACACCGCCGACTCAGATGATTCGTATCACTGAGTCAAATAGACTCTGATATTTCTGTTTTATCAGTTCGTTGACGCAAATGAGTCAGTTGTACCGGTTCCCCGACTCAGGGTAGTGGACTCGCAACAAATTCAAGTGACGCAAATAACTGACTGAAGTTATTGGGATTGCCATCAGGACCGCAACCTCAGATAATTCGGTGGACTGACTGACTCAAGTTAACGAAATCACCAGTAACACGGCAGACTCAAATCATTCGGTTCACTGAGTCCAGTCAGCAGACTCACAGAAAAGAGTCGAATGTTTTGGTTCATTGATTCAATTTAGCTGATTCGATTTTATCCGTTCACTGACTGGAGCTTGCGGGCTCACCCCAAGGTGTGGTGCCAATCAGCAGGCTCACTGGAAACACCACAGACTCGGATAATTCGATTCACTTACTCAAGTTAGCGTACTCACTAGAAACACAACAGACTCCACAAACTCAGTTCACTGACTCAAATTAGCGGATTCACTGTAAACACCACTGACTCAGGGTGATTCAAGTGAATGAGTTCTCTTAGGTGTGTGAATCAGAGTTTAGCAGCGCAATTGAAGACGTTCTGGTGTCCAAGAAAGAGTCTGACTTTAGGGGCGGATGTTTGGGACAATGGCGGCGGGTGCATGGTCAGCTGCTGCCATAGCGACACATGATAAAGTGAGGGGCGGACAAAAGATGTGCAGCCGCAGCTAAAATATGTGTCCCGGGATTAGAGCGCCACATTCCCGGGCCTCGCGGAACTTAAAAACCACAATGCTGTCACTCTAATGTGTGTCGGGAAAAAGCGTGACTCATCCCTGTCAATTGAGTTCATGATAATATTCATCAATAGCAGTCAGAAGGCAGGCAGGATGACGCAACGACAGTGGCAGTACGGGAAGCATTCAGGCAGACGAGAGAATAGGCAATAGGTAGCTGAGTAGCAACAAGCTAGGTTGCTAAGACGGTAGGTAGGAAACATGCTAGTGAGATAATAAGTGAGTAGCTAAAAGTGCTAGAAAACCTGTTACCAGCTAGGGTGCTAAGTAGGTAGGCAGGCAGGCAGGTAGGTAGGTAGGTAGCTTGCTCGCAGTTTACCGGTAATCAGAATGCCATGATCAGACTAATGGAGGCGCATAGAACATATGCTAGTAAAGAACATTTTTGACTTGACTTCCCCTTTTAATACTTGGGATGTGGCTGTGATCAGAATTAATCAATCACATGCAAACCCATTTTAACTTGGAGTCAGAAACACTCCTGTCACCATTTAAAATGCCTCTGATTAAACCCAAATAAAGTTCAGCTGTTCTATTAGTGTAGTCGTAGTTTTTATATCCACAAAGGAGTATCTACGATGATAAGAAGATTGGACACTGAAACGCTGGGTAGATCAAAGTAATTGGACACCGCTTGGGTGTTTTCTGCCTCGAAGGCGTCCGCTTACTTCACACGAAGTTTCGCTCTCTTTTCCATTTGGGTGTTATTTCGCCAAATGGGCACACTTGCAGGGCTACTCCCTTGATGCTGTCAGAAATGAGGTCTACTAAGGTATACTGGTGCGTCATGCTCTGTTTTTGCTGAGTCATCGGGGTTGCCGCCTTTGCCAAGTACCACCTAAATGAATATCATGTGCCACTCATTCAGGCTGTTAAGTGTGGCATCTTCTTTGTCAGTCAGATGGCAAGTATAGTGTAGCCCCCCCCCCCCCCCCACACACACACACACAAGCAATAATTCAGTGCATTTTCTATACCAAAAGATGTAATTTGTATGATTTTTCTGTACGTTTTGCGCCAGTAATAACGATGCAGGCCAGTCAGGGCGGTCACCGAGCTGCTGATGACAAAAGGCTACACCTCATGTCCCTCCCAAGATGTAACATTTTGACAGAAATTAGCACAATTCTGACAAATAAACAGCATAGAAATGTCATGTGGAGAAGAAATTACACTTCAATTAATGTAATTGTGTAAACATAGTTGATTCGTCTAAATTCCTCTGAACTGTGTTAATGTTACATACATTAATATTATAGAATAACGTGTAAACATGATAAGTGTCCCGTGGGAGGCAGTGGCTGTCTACTCAATGGCCGCACCCTGAGTCCACGTCGGTGGGATTTAAAACACACTCACTCACTCACACACGCAAACGCACACAAACGCCAAAACGGACAAATTGTGTAGGATAAAAGCAAAATATTTATAAAATAGTACATACGTGACGTTAGCACCGTGTTTGTGGACCTCAGTCGTATTTTCAATTGGATCCTTCCCGCCTACGACCAGTCTCCATCAAGACGGAAGGACTCGGTGTCCTCTGTCGACCCGTGAAAGGAGGTGCCTTTTCGGGGTAGGCGGTGGCCGTGGGGGCCGCTGACCTGCAGGCTTGGGTCTGGAGTGGATGGTGGTGTCCAAAATGGTTGTGTCGGAGGAGGATGCTGTACCGAACCACGGGGCGGTGACGTCATCGCCGAGGGAGGTAACAGCATCAATGCAGTGGTCGGAACAGCGCGGTGTGGGAAGATGGACGATAGGAGGAAGAGCCAAAAGGGAGGAGGAAGTGCACCTATCCGATGCTTGACGTCATACCAAAAACTAAGGAATATTTTTATTTACCGAGACAATGAAGGCGTGCATACACATATATATATATATATAAAATTTTTGACTCAGCAAAATGGTTTCTGCAAAAGCCAGCGAAGTGACACCCAAACTAGTTACTCGTTGTTGATTAGCTCCCAGTTAGGTTGCTAATTATGTACTTAACGACATGCAAAATAAGTTGCTAAGACAGGTAGATAGGCAAAAGGCTCACTAAATAGTTAGCCGAATAGCGAAAAGCTAAGTCAGTAGGTATGAAACGTGGGAGTGAGACAGGAAAGTGATTTAGCTGAGAGCTAGGTTCCCTAGTAGGTAGGTAGGGGGCAACGTTTAACAACCTACCTGGTAGCTAACCACCTACCTAGTTATTTATGTAGCCCTCGCTATCTACAGTATTTTTCCTAACATATCAGGTTCCGTGCACAAGTACACGCATTGATAGTGATGTCTATGCCATCAGGTCATTGATTTGATTAAGACCTTTGAACTAAGCTGCTCATCCTAATGAGCGAAAGCGCTCACGCGCATCTATCACATTAAGTTCGTCAAATGTATGACAACTATCGAAATATGTATCTCTTAAGATGGACATTTATGATCAAGTAGAGACCAACAGATGGGTGATGATAATGATTTTCCATTCAAATGACTTGGGAGCATGTCATCTTCATTAGTAGCCTACCTATTTTGCCACCCAGCTTGTACCTAATACAGTACAGTGAATAGGCAGGTTAAGAGCGCCCCCTACGGGTACTTCTATCTCTATTCTGCCATGTCTAAACACAGTGGTGGGACTATCTTAAATTATTTAGACCAGTTGTTTCCCTCCTGCGAAGTGTGACGTACAGTTCTCTTTGTTCAGATGTCATTGTGGTACTACAATAGGGTGGGACAAAAGGCACTATACACTTTTGAAACGTACTTGATTAAGGAAAGAAGGGCGGAGAGTAGGGGAGAGGGAGGGCGCGATGGAGAAGGGGATGTGAGAGGAGAGAAAGGATGGAAGGAAGGTAGGGATGAAGAGTGGAAAGTAGCAAGGGTGGATTGAAGGATACGAGGTCATGAGAGGATAGGAGGAGGGCAGGGAACAAGGATGGTGTGAAAGAAAGATTGGGAGGAGTGAGGGAAGGAAGAAAGGAGATCAGGAAGGAGTGAGGACAATATCAAAGGACCAAAAGAAAGAAGGAAAACGAGGATGTATATAAGGGAGGAATTGGGGAAAAAGGAAAGAATGATGGGAGGCCTCAAGGGTGGATGAAAGGAAGGAAAGAAGGACGGATGGAAGGTATCTTGGGAGGATGGAGGACGAAGAAAAGGGAACAAGGATGGTGGTAAGAGATTTTGTGTGTAAGAAGTGAAGAGAGGAGGGAGAAGGAGTGAAGGGAGGAAGGATGTGTGAAAGAAAGGCCTTGGGGAAAGAAAAGGGTGCAATAGTGGAAGTTAGTAAAAGGGATGGATGTTAGGAAGCATTACAATTGTAAGAAATTCAGGAAGTAAAGGGGGAAGGGAACAAGCACAGTGTGAAAGTGAATTAGGAAAGAGAGAAGGGTAGTTAGGAAGGATGAAGAAAGAATGAAGCAAGGGAGGATGGAGTAAGGAAAAGGGAGGAAGAGAGGAAGGAAAGACAGAAACATCGAGATCACAATGGAAAGATTGAAGAATATAAAGAAGACTGCACACAGCTACACAAGAAAACACAGCAGTAGTTGTTTGGATTGAGGGAAAAGTGGTTTTATTGTCGAGTTTAGTGACATTTGAACTTAAACATAGATCTGAACATTAGTGGACCACTCACAGTCCTCCACATTCATCACACAACAAAGAGGTGAGGAAAAACAAACACAATAACGGCCATTACTTACATTTTCTTGGGGTCGCCTCACTAAAATGGTTCCTTTTTTTTTTTTAAGTTGAATTAAAGTAGACGCACAACATGACACATGGTGCAATAAACAGATGTACTGTAAATGGTCACTATCAGGACAGTATGCAAAGTCAACATTATTTACCAGCACCTTTCAAGTCAGATTTGCTTAATTTGGACATGCAGGTACGTTGAAGATTTAAAGTCACTTTCATGTACCTGGTATGCCATGCATAGAGGACACTAAAATACTGGCGTCATGAGTCAGATCGAAAACGCCTGAGTTGATTGGGTCATATTGAGTCATTCAGTCAGAGTCAAGTTAGCGGATCGGATCGTTTACTAACTCCAGTGAGCGGACTCATTGGGAAACACCACAGATTCAAATGATTCTTTTGTATCGGTTCAGTGACCCGAGTAAAATAAAATAAATCGCCAAAAACACCGCTGACTCATGTGATTCAATTCTATCGATGAACTAACTTGAGTTAGGTGACTCGGTTGATTTGGGTTGCTGAATCTGGTTGGTGGAAATTCTGCACTCGCAAGGTTTCAGTTTTACCGCTTCACTGACTCGCAGCCTCGGATGATTTGGTTCTATTTGGCCACTGACTCAAGTTAGTTGAGTTGCCGTAAACATCGCAGTTTCACAATGAAGCATCGGCTCAGTGAATCGATAGTCAACTCAGGTGAATAATCTGGAACACTGGAGACTAAAACGATTGTCTCATGTTGGTTCTCTGACTTGAGATAGCAAACTTAGATGATTCGGTTGTATCAGTTTACTGACTCAAGTTGGCTGACTGAAGCGATTCAGTCGTATCGGTCCACTTACTCGAGTTAGAGGGCTCGCTGTAAACCCATGGACTCGGGTGATTGGGTTGTTTCTTGACTGTGCTGAGTCAGCTGAATAAGTTCACTTCATCAAGTTAGCAAGCCCACCACGAAACACTGTGGATTCAACTAGCTAATAGCTAGCTGGTTAGCCTTTGGCAACAAAAACGCTTTGGCTTGGTTTGTGTTGAAATGATTACGCTTAAGGGTTTAACATTTTCAACATAGTTGTTCCTGGACTAGGCCATCACAAGGATTTAAAGAAAAAAAAAACAAACAAAACCAAACATATTTTTCAAGATATTTTGGCCTTTCATCTACATGTATTTTTCATCATTGCTATTTGTTGAAAAAACATAGAATTGTGCGTTGTAAATCAAATGTATCCTTACGATATTTTCTTGATTAATTAATAATTGTGATTATACAACATATATGATTTCTGTCAATGACAAAGTATGTGATTATTTTTAAACATACAGTACTTGTATTGTGATAATGTTGTTTTCCGGCGAAAAACAAGTAACTCCAAATTTCTTAAGTTTTAAAAAGAAAATGTTTTTTTTTTTAATTCTATGCGTCAAGTAAAAGGAAAAAAAAAAGTGGAGCTCAAGTATCTTTTTGTTTTTAACTGCATGAATTAAAGCAGTGCCAGACCGTCTGAATCATACTTCGCAAAACACAGACAAAATTTTATGTGGAAAATTATTTTGTTAAAACTGTCTTTTAAAAAAACATGTGTGGACCTATTTTTTGTGAATGGGACCTATTTGTTGACTTCATTTTCCTGCATCCGGCACCAAATTCCTTAGCATTGTACACTGAGGGTGGTCGTGACAGGCTGAAGAAACAAATTCACAACAGGTGAATGCATTCTTACACAGACAAAAATTCTCTTAAAACTGTTTTTTTAAAAACATTTCTGTGAGAAAAATTTCATTAAAATCACATTTGATGCCAACGCCACAAATTTCTGTGTATGCATTGACTTTGTTTCCTTGCATCCGACATCCAATATCGTAATGTCATACACAGGTGGTGCTTGTGATGAGCTAAATCATACTGCGGGTGAATGCATTTTTACACCAACAAAAATCCTGTCAAAACGTGGCACCATTTGTTGTAAGTGGGACAAATATACAGTACTTGTGTGCACTGACTTAAATTTCCTGCATCCGGCACCTGATATCTTAATATGGTACGCTAGGTAAACAAGTGCATTTTTTTCCCAAAATCGTTTACATCGGGTCTGGAGGTTTCCCTTAAGAGTCCCAGTCCGTTGGTTACAAGATGGTGTAAAAAGGCTAACATCAACCCTCTCTGGAGTCACTGAGGCACGAGTTCCTTCAGAGAGGCTAACGCCGAATGGATGCGCACATGTAGCCTGTTCTCAAAGTCATAGCCTGTGAAATCCTCCTGGAACCACAAATCGAGAATTCAAATAACTATCATGTTAGGCTGTAATGCTAAGTCTGCGTGCTCACTCAGCAGCAGCAGATTAAATAAAACATTAAAAATTCAAAGAACAGATTTCGATGATCATTTTTACCTTTGCTTGAAGTAGGAAAGATCTCCCCTTGCCCACCGTCTGATTGGTGGGAACACAAAATTAATGTTAGAAAACAGCACATGTCCAAAAACATTAAATTATTATCACTATTCTTTTGATCAGAAAACTTTTTCGTGTTTAGGATAAAAACAGAAAAGAAAATTGGAGATACCTGCTTTTAATCTGCAGTAAATGTATGTATCCCTCATTGGAGACCCAACACAAGTAGCATTTTGATAAAATAATTTCAATATCTTGTTACGAGCGTTAAAAAGTAATGATACATTTTTCAACTGTATCGCCCAGCCCTATTTTCCAACTTTATAGTCCCATGCTGAACACTAACAGTTGAACCTGTATTATTTTCCACTTGAATTTATTTTGAACAAAGACTAAAACTCAAGAGTTGTCAGTTTATTGTTTTTCACTTTTATTGACTCCAAATGAATACTAAATCAGAGTGAGTTGTTTGTGTTTTATTTTGTACTTAAATTCTTAGTTGCACAGTGACTGTTCTAACTGTTGTCAGAAATAAACAAGAAGAACTCCATGTTTCGTGTTTAAATTGGTGATGGCCCATAGAACATATTGCACAGAAAATGTTTGACTTAAATTTCCCTTTAAAAAAGAGGCAGAAGAGAACTGGACTGACCTCGGGTTTGGCTAACAGCACGCAGCCCAACTCGTAGACGGCGTAC